ATAAATGCAAAAAAAAAAATCGTGGCCATGTTATCAACAAAAAAATATATAAGCGTGGTCATTCAAGGCGTGCGACACACGCCTCTCCTGAGAAGGCCTGAAATGATATTCAAAAAAAATATTTATATATAATAAAAAAAAATACAATAATGTAGATTTCTATAAAAATAAAACGTAAAATTATAAACAAGCATTTATATATATATATATATATATATATATATATATATATATATATATATATATATATATATATATATATATATATATATATATATATATATATAAATGCATGTTTATAATTTTACGTTTTATTTTTATAGAAATCTGCATTATTATATATTTTTTTAGTATATATAAATATTCATATATTATATATATATATATATATATATATATATATATATATATATATATATATATATATATATATATATATACACACACATATATATAGGGGCTATTCAAGACTGTTTTAGACAGCGACAACCTTATTTGGGCGCCACCCAAATTAAAATTTGAGGATTTTTTTTTTTTTGCAATTTTTTACAGAAATATCGTTTTTATTTGTAAAAAACACATAATTTCCACTAAATTTCACTGGTACAGAGGGGTACTGCTGTCAATTTTTTTTTCCTAGAATAGGCCTTGCATATATATATATGTGTATATATACATACATATATATATATATATATATATATATATATATATATATATATATATATATATATATATATATATATATATATATATATATGGTATTTAAGCTATTTGAGTAATTTATAGACTGAATATAATATAAATAATTTATAGACTGAATATTAATTGGCTACATTTGTCAGATATGCTGTATTATCCAATGCTATTTATACAGATTTGCCCTATCACTGACGATATTTTGTATTTGAGAATAAAATACAAAAATTCATTAATGTATGTGCTCAATAATGAACAAATAGCATTTATTTATATTGTTTAATAGCACATTATATAGACAAATTTACAAAGAAAGTACAACTTTTTATGGTATTAATAGTTTTATGCCTAAATGCAATCGTCAGCCATGTAATACAAAACAAGAAACAAAAAAACTGTTAAAAATATAAAGTTACAGTAGAGTATGCTCAAAATCGTCAAAACAAAACAAAAAAAAAAAAAAAAAAAAAATCTGAAAATGCCTGCCTAATCACAAATACTGTATTTTGAAAGAAGAAATTTACTTGTCTGTGTCTACATTTATCAAATGTTTACATTTAGAAAATAACATCTCCTTTACTTAATAAGCTATCATTGGTGTAAAAACGGTATCCGCAAATCAACTCTGGGTTCTTCACTGTGTTATTACATACTTTTCATATAAACATGAGTTGCATTGTTTTATTGTGGAATCGTAAGATCTACAACATTTTACAATTTACCATTTAATTGTCAGGTTTACTCCACTTTTTTTAACCTACATACTTCCTCAAAAAATACAGTATTGTTTTTATATTTTTTGATACTAAAAGATTCTGTATGGTTAGAGTATCTATTTTTTTTTTACTACATGATGGTTATGCAAGTTAACAACTAATTTGATGTTTGCCTTACAACTATTATTGTCAGGTCAGGTTATTCTGCTATTGTCAGGTCAGGTTATCCTGCTACTGGTAATATGTAACCCAGTACAATCTGCTTTATGTCCTGATGCCTTGTAGGATACACCTTTTTAGGCAAAGGCTAGGAGATGCCAACTCCGACATAAAACACCCCATGCCTCGGAGCTCTTGGTTGAGTAAATGTTAGAGATGGTGTCTCGATAAAAATACTTATCTTGGGTAGATGTAGAAGGCCTCCTAGGCAAAGACTTAAGGGGTAAACAGACTCTATCTGTTGATCAACCTCGCACTCCTTCTTTATCTATTAGGCTGACGCAGATATATTTTTAATACATTGTTTCCAGTTTAGGATGTTGAATGCTGGATCTTCTTGATTTGATACATGGGTTTTGCTTGTGTCTCTGTTTTTATGACTAGGCAACTCATTTTATTATCTCCTAATGAGGGTACAGCTTTAAAACTCAGTTTTATGGTTCTGAGGCCGGCTGGTAGTCAGGTTTCCCAAACTCTGTGGTAGCTCTTAGAGAGGCTGATTCCATCAACAGCTGATCAAGTAACATGTGACAACTAAAAATCTGGACAAACTTTGTAGCTTCAGTTTATATGTCTAACAATGTTTTATAATTTTATAATTCTACCTATTTTGTTGCAATTTTATTCCTCTACAAAATACAATAGTCAAATTTTTTTTAAAACCTCATTAAACTAAAAGATTAAAATTTTAAGAGTTGGAAGAGTTGGAAGTGGAAGACTGCAAACAATATGCATCAGACACAGATTAAACGCCTAAAAAAATTGATTGATAAAAAGGACAGTGTTTCACAGCGTAACTTAGACAAAAAAATTCAATGTTTCGCAGCAATATATATCCAAAATTATCATCGAAAAGACAAGCATTCGATATCGTAAAAAACTTAAGTGTCTAAAAGGACATTGGCTCAGAAAGCTGCTGTGCATTTAAATGCTGAAAATTAGTAGCACTTTTCCGGAAAAATTTGTGATAACAGATGACGAACCATATTTGTCTATGTGCAACACACAACGCAGCATATTATACTTCTGATCCCGACACAACTACTAAGCTTAAAAGAAAAAGCAAATATGAGCCAAAATTATATGTTTCAATAGCCTTGTCAGAGAAAGGAGTTTCAAAGAATTACATAGCTCTTTCAGGTCAAGCAGTCAACAAGGATATGTACATTTCCAAATGCCTGGTTAAATTAAAGTAGTTTATCAACAAGGTTCATAAAAAACAACAAAATTGTGTTCTAGCCTGATCTAGCCTCTGCACACTATTCAAACAAAGTACAAAATTACCTAAAAAGGGAAAATATAAAATATGTGACGAGAGACATAAATCCTGCTAATCTGCCAGAATTGCGCCTGATCGAGGAATTTCGGAGTGAAATTTAAAGATTGGTGAATGCAGACAATAAGCAAGCTAAAAATCTCCGCCAAATATGAATTCGAATTGAGTATTGTATGAAAAAAAATCTATCAAAATTGCGTACATAGGCTTGGAGCAAGTACCTTTACAAGAGTTGACTGCGTTCTGCGAAATGGACTGATAAATAATTTTTAATTTTCTTCTGTAAAACACAAATTCTTTGTTAAATTGATTTTTAAATTTAAAAGATTGATAACTCTGTTCAAGAAATATTTATTTTCAATATTTATCCAGATTTCTAGTTGTCACATGTTATTAATAGTGCCATGTTGCGCATGGATGGTGTCACTGTTTGTACTTTTGGTGTGCAATGCCAAGGCCACATTGGAGCCTTTTGTTACAGCTAAGGGCTTAATAATAGTAATGAGGCAATTGCTTGAGCTATTAAACAATGTACTGAGCAATATCTATGCTTTGAGTCAAGTTGTTTAACAAATTTAAAAATGAATAAAGTAACAAAAAATATAAAACAGAAAAAACCATTGTCATCACCAAGTTCTCTAAACCTATCATTCACTAATATTCGTGGTCTTCGAAGTAACTTTTCTTGTGTTGAGTCTTATTTCTTGCAAAGTTCACCAGACCTACTTGCTGTTTGTGAGACTAATTTGAGTTCAGCTGTCTCATCTTGTGATCGTAGTGTTGATGGTTGTCTTCCTTTAATTTGTAGACTCTAATAGTCACATGCTTGGCCTGGGCATTTACATTCATAAGAATTCACCCATTTGTCAGGAAACTAGAATTGAATCCACTGACTACTCATTACGTGCTTTCGTTTAGCACCATTTCACTCTATCAACTTTCTAATTGTTCTATATTGCGCTCCTTCATCTCAAGACTGCACTCTTCTTGATATTATTTCTGATCATATTGACCAAGCCCTCTCTCTTTATCCATCAGCCAATATTGTCTAGTGTCAGTGACTCTGCAGGTATAAAAGCCCACAACTTTTGCCTAACTCAAAACCTTTATCTCTAACTCAAATAGTCACCTTTCTAACTCGCTTTCCAGACAACCCAAATCATCTTCTCTCATCAACTTATGTCGATGAGAGAAGATAATTATGAACAAAAATTATGCTCTCGTGACTTCTGGAGAATCTTTAATAGTATCAATAATAAGGGCAAGGCTGTAATTCCATCTCTATTGTATAGTTCAGACTTTGTCACCTAATTTAAGACAAAGCTGACTTGTTTGGTAAGAACTTTTCATCAATATCATCTCTTGATTCTACTAGTTGTGTTTTACCTGATACAGTTATCAAACAGTTTGATCCATTGCTTGACATTCGTATCACTCCAGCTTCTTTATCTAAAGTGATTTCCTGCTTAGACTCTTCTACAGCTTGCAGCCCGGACAACATACCTGTTATAGTCACAAGTGTTCTCCAGAGTTGTTGTCTATCCTTTCAAAACTATTCAACAAGAGCTTACCAGAGTCTTGTTTTACGGCCTGCTGGAAAGCAGCATCTGTTGACCTTATTTTAAAAAATTCTGGAGAGCGATCTGATTCGTCTAACTACCGTCCCAGTAGTGTTTTTCCTATTATAAGCAATATTTTTGAATCTTTAATTAAGAAACACGTAAACTCTCATCTTAAATCTAATAACTTACTTTCTGATTATCGATATGGATTTTGATCTTCTCGTTCTACGGCTGATTTACTAACAGTAATAACCGATTGGTTTTATTGCGCATTAGATAAAGGTGGAGAGGTGAAGGCAATCACTCTTGACATTTCTAAAGCGTTTGATAAAGTTTGGCATGCTGGTCTTCTCCATAAGTTTTCTTCTAACTTTGTATCTGGAAACATATTTAAGATTATTGAATCCTTCCTTTTGAATCGTAGTATAAAAGTTGTCCTTGATGGACAGCACTCTTCTTATTATTCTGTAACCTCAGGGGTTCCTCAAGGTTCAATCCTTGGTCGAATTCTTTTTTTGATTTACATTAACGATCTTCCAGATATTCTCACATCTAAGGTGGCATTGTTCGCTGATGATACTGCGATTTATTCTTGTTATGATTACTGATGATACTGCCATTTATTCTTGTCATGAATACTGATGATACTGCCATTTATTCTTGTCATGAATACTGATGATACTGCCATTTATTCTTGTCATTATAAAAAGCCATCTCTTTCTGATTGATTGGACAGGTCATTTGAGCTCGAAAATAATCTCACTTCTGCTACAGCATGGGCCTCAGTGGCTAATGAACTTTAATTTAGATAAAACTCAATTTTTTTCAGCTAATCGTTACCGCAATAATTTAGACCTTTCTATATTTATGAACGGTAATGTACTTGATGAGTCATCTACCCTTCATCTTCTAGGATTAACTCTTACTTCTGATCTTTCTTGGAAACCTTATATCAAATCCGTTGTAAAATTAGCATCTGCTAAAGTTGCATCTCTTTATCGAGCTCGACACTTCCTTACTCTGGATTCTATTCTCTATCTCTATAAATCTCAAATCCGGCCTTGTCTGGAATACTGTTGCCATATCTGGGGCGGATCTTCAAATGCTGCCCTTTTTCTTTCAGACAAGGTGCAAAAACGCATTGTAATCATAGTTGGACCTGCTCTTGCAACCAACCTTCAACCACTATCACATCATTGTGATGTTGCTACTCTTTCTCTTTTCTACAAATACTATAATGAGCACTAAATGCTCTAAAGAGCAAGCATCTCTTGTGCCATATACTAAAATATATTCTTGTGTTACTCGTCATTCAATTAAGTCTCATCCTTTTTCTGTGACTGTTCCTAAGTGCTCCAAAAACTCTTATTCGTCGAGTTTTTTTCCTCGAACATCAGTTCTTTTGATTCGCTTCCTTCATCTTGCTTTCTTGATTCATATAATTTGCAATCTTTTAAGTCGTCTGTCAATCGTTATCTTGCTCTACAATCTTCATCTTTTCTCTTCCAGTAACTTCCAACTCTGATTAGTGGCTTACATTACAACTTTCATGTTATATTTGATAGAGATAGTAGGATGGTTATTTTTAATAAAAATTAATAACATAATTTTAATAAAATTTAATATTTGTAATTGTTTTCATTGGGTGGTAACTAGCATTTTTAAAAACATCTATTCCATTGTCATAGTATAAGCCAAAATCTGTTCTGTTATAATGCTGGGATAGCATTTCATTTTTAGTAGTTACATATTTCTCAGCAAATTTAATCACATAACTTAAAAGATTTTCATCAATAGAAGGATGATAATATGGTTTTTAAAAAACTTTTATCCAAATAATCATTCAACAAAAGTGGTAAATTGACTTCCTTGTTGTCACAGTTTATTGAACCACAGTAAAATTTGGTTTCCAGATTTAGTGTAGTAGGATGTTGTAAAATGTATATTGTATTTATTGGACTTAAGTATATTTTGAATGGTTATAGTTATAACTTGTTTTCTTTCAACATTTATCATCAGTTCACCATTTTTCATTGCCAGTAAAATATTATCAGTATTAGCAAAATATGAGTTTTAAAACTTTCTTCATTTTGTATTTTCTTTTTACGTCAATCTTCATTTTGTATTTTACATCAAGAACTGCAAGCAAGGTATCAGAAATTTTGATTAATAAATAATATACTATTGATTATTAAATAATATTTGTTTTGGAACTATCCTGGTCTGTAGCATTGCATAATTATTGTAACCACACCAATAAGTTCTTACATTGTGACCATTAATGGCCATTTATTTATTTTTTTAATTATAATTTTTTAAATTACTTATTATTTATACTCTATATTGTTTATTTTACTATCGTGCTATTTTTAAAAAGTTTTGTAAAAATATTCATAAATTGATTATATGACCTACTTTATATCCTATAATCTGCCCATTTCTTTGAAATATTGGAACTGGTTCCCATGTTAACTGTATAGTAGAAGAATCAAGTGCTTTTGCAACAATATTAATGGGTGCTCCAGCAGGATCTAAACTCAAACAAGTTTATTACATATTAAAAAAGTTTAGTTAAAATAAAAAAGTAAATTATAAATTAAAAAGTTAATTATATATTAAAAAATTAACTATATATTAAAAATTTAACTATATATTAATAAGTTAACTATAAACTAAAAAGTTTATTATATATTAAAAAGTTAATTATATATTAAAAAGTTAATTGTATATCAAAATAAATAAAATTTAAAAAGGAAGAAAAAGTTAAATTTAACAATATTTATATGAAGTCATTTATTTAGAAAATACTCACAGTCTTCTGAAGTTCTAAAAAATACAGGAGTACTCCATGGACCAAAACCTTTATCATTAAACAATCGCATTGTGATGTTATACATAAGGTACTTCTGCAATCCTCGAGCTAAATAAGACTTAGCTTGGGTATCATAGTAATCAACAGCTGCAAACTGTATTTCAGGATCAATGTCTTTAGGTTTGATAATAAATTGATATTTAATTGATCCACTGTTCCAAGATTCTGCTTCAGGTGGCTACAGAAAATAATCAAAAATACAATAAAAGTATAAAATTACAGCGCAAATATAAAATTACTATGCATCAGATTGGAACATTAAAGTTTGTTGCTTCTAGCCTACTTTTGTATTTATTTTATTTATTAGAGTTCATTTGTTAGATTAAGTTAAAATTAAAAGATAAAATTCTTCTTTTAAAAGATAAGATAAAGTTTTTTTAAGATAAAATTCTTCCTTTAAGATAAAATTCTTCTTTTAAGATAAAATTCTTCTTTTAAGATAAAATTCTTCCTTTAAAGATAAAATTCTTCTTTTAAAAAGATAAAATTCTTCTTTTAAGGTTTAGTTTATTTCTAGATCTTAAGTTAACACAATTTCTTTCTTTAGTTCATTTCTACTTCTTCAGTTACTACTTTCTTCAGTTTTCAAGCCACGAACCTTGACAAACAAGTTGAGTAAAGTACTACCAGGGTTAGCTACAATTAAAGTTAGCTTCAAAATTAACAATAAAAATTGTTAATGAATGAATTTGTAAAAAAAATGTAATTTCTGCATAAAAAGTATAAAAATTATGTAACTTTAAAATAAAAGTATTTTTTTTGCTATAAACACTTTCATTTTTTAATCTAAAAAAAAAGTTAATTATCTATGTGTTTATATAAAAACAAAAAATTTTATTATTCAATAATTTTATTGATCCAAGATGAATAATATTATTTTATGATGAAAGGTGATTTAAATGGAAAACTTATCTGTGATTTCTGTCATAGCATTATAGCATTGAACTTGGTTTTGAGTGTATTTATATACTAATGATCATCCTTCCATCATCTTATCATGATGAAGTTGCAATAACAAAATATTATAAATGTGAAAATCATTTTACGGAACTTATATATCTGACACATTTCAAAATTAATTTTATTTCCAGATAAATTCCTTTTAAAAACATTATCTCTATTATTTTTTGTAACTTTTAGTCTGACTTTATTAATCCCTCAATCTGTCTAAATTAGGTTTTAGTAAGATTTTTTTTTTAAATTTTATTTATATAAAAATGTTTAAACTAAATAATTAATATTAATATATATATTTTTTGGTTAAACTTCAAAAACAAATTTTATGAGTGATTTTAAATTTTGTATCTTACAAGTTTTTCTTAAACCAATCAATGTACGCACTGAAGGCATCACAACTCTCTTAATCAGTTGATTAAGGTAGTTGTGATGCAACTTGATTAAGGTAGTTGTTAGCAATCTAAAAAATTATTTAGATTGCTAATCTAAGTGTACGTTTATATTTGAGTAATTAAATAAATAAATAATATATATATATATATATAAATATATATATAAATATATATATATATATATATATATATATATATATATATATATATATATATATATATATATATATATATATATATATATATATATATATATATATATATATATATATATATATATATATATATATATATAACCCTTGGAATTAGAAAAAATGAGGTGGGCAATTTTTTAACAGTTTGAGGTCGACAAAATAAATTTGATACCATTTGGTTACCATTAAACATAGAAATGAGGTCAAATGTTATTCGCCAACTTTAAACTCTTTAAGGTCGGCAGTTAGGTCAGCATTGCCGAATGCCGTCCTTAATTCCGAGGGTTGTGTGTGTGTGTGTATATATATATATATATATATATATATATATATATATATATATATATATATATATATATATATATATATATATTTATGTATATATATACATATACACACACATATGCAAAACTAACCAACTTGATCACCTTAATGCACAACCTATCCAACCAATACACTTTTCAGCTTAGGTACTACAAAACTATTTTCCAAAACAGTTGCATACTGATTAGCTAGAATTGCTGACACTGTTGCACTAATGCCATGTATTAATCTTGAAACTTTTGTCAACTCACTGTATAAAATAAAATGCAAGCTGCTTGCAAGAACTTTAATAATTCCATACTCTTTGCTCAAGACACCTACTAATTACTAAAAACAATAACGCCATTAATTCAGAGCCTTAAAAAAACAACCTTTTTCATCTGGTTGTTGTAAGTAGTAAAATAATCACCAAAAGAATACATATTTATAACAGACACTTCTTTACTGAAAAAATTTTTTTTTTACTAGCAAGAAATCATACAAGGATAAATTTAAGGATAAAAAAATTTAAATCCAATTAGAGGAAAATTTCAATATGTTTTGAGTGATAAGAAACAACTTTTCGCTTTTCGTCAACGGCCAAGCAGATCTGACTACTATTCCCATTTTTGCCCTGAATAATATTCAAACAAAATAAAAACAGGATTGTCAGGACTAGATAATTTTCACCCATGCTTATGCAAATTTGCTTAAAAATTGCCCTATAACTCTAAATCCTATTTAACTGCCTCATAAAAAACAGTTACTTCCCTGATAAAAGGTAATCAGCTAACATAACATTGATTCCTAAAATCATAAATCTGCTTTTTTGACTAATGACTATATTCCGATTACATCTGCAATATTGCAAAGCTTTTGAACACATTATCATCAAATTTATTTTCTATCACACCAAGCAACTCTTGGTCTCAAATAAACAGTTCTGTTTCCACTCATGTCCTAGAACAATATGTGGTATTATTCAGGTTAAAGTAGCCTGGAGTCATGCTAAATATAATAACAAATCAATTTTTGCAATATTGTTTGTTTTCGCAAAAGCATTTGAACTCGTTGATCAGGGCAATTTACGGCAAGTTAATGAATATTCTTCTAATAATCATGCAGAAAATTGGGTGCACTGCTGCTTTTTCAATAATTAAATAAGCTGTTGGGCTAACTTTAGTATAATATTCAGCAATAGATAGCATTGCACAAATAATTATTTAAAATGCCACTCAATTTTAAATAAGAATTTATGAAAAATAATTTTATTTAAAAGAAAAAAATGATATTTAATTTACATACATTCCACTCAATTAAAAGTGCTTGTCTTTCTGGTGCAGATGCCCAAACTCTAAGAGGGGCTTTAGATGGAACTATAAAAACAAAAGATAAACTTTTAAGATTGCTTTAATGATAATGAATTGAATTTATGTACAAAGCATGAGTGACTACACTTACCTCCTTCACTGGTTGTAATATCAGCTGATACATTGCTGTAAGGAGATGGTCCAACAATATTAAAACCCTGCATACGAAAACGATAAGTTGTGCTATGTTTCAGCCCTGGTATATTTGCAGGATTTTCAAGAATCTTAGTTAAGTTTCTAATTAAACGCCAAACAGGAGGATTTTGGCTAATATGATAGGCAGTATCATTGTTATATTCAATTAAGTAGTATAAAAAAACAGCTCGCCCACTATCTCCAGGAGTCCATCCCAAAGAAATGTTGCTTCCCCATATTCCATAAGATTTAAGGTTTGATGGAGCACTTGGCAAAACTAAAAAAAAAATTCTTTTTTCACTTTAAATATTGCATTTGATTATTATATGATTATTCAGGGTTCCCACTATTAAAAATGAGACCAAAAGTAAGGATTTTAAGGAGATTTAAGGAGATATTTTCCAAATATTTAAGGAGTTTTGGTAGCAAACGACAATTTTTTAAAAGAAAAAGTATGGAGAATTAAGGAGAAAATGTATATATATATATATATATATATATATATATATATATATATATATATATATATATATATATATATATATATATATATATATACATATATACATATATATATATATATATATATATATATATATATATATATATATATATATATATATATATATATATATATATATATATTAGGGTAGGCCACAGTCCCACATAAATTTTTCAAAGCATTAATTTTACTAGTAGCTGCATAAAATGTTGTTCCTTTTACTATAAAAATCATTTTTTGTTACGAAAGTATTAACGTAACTCATTTCTAAGTTCTGCCGAATTTCATTTTAAGTTTCAGTTATACGAATAAATCCAAAACACAAAACTTCCATTGCTTCTGTTCCGTTTTTTAAGTTGTTCGGCATAATATTAACTAATAATGGCATATTTCTATTGTTTTTCATGAAAACAAACAAAACATGCGACGCATTCTTGTTTATTTAAAAATAATGTAAGCAACATAGTCTTTTGCAGCATACAGGAGTGTTTTATCTATTTTAACTAATTTGTTATATTTTTATTCTAATAACTGTTTTTTTTTTCTAAATATTTTGCATAAGTAACAGCTGCTTAAATCATAAAGTTTATGTACGAAAAGAATTTTCCAAAAATAACTTTATTTTTCAATTAGAAAATAGACTTTAATTCATCTTTTGTTTACTTGTTAAGGTATCAATTAAAATGATGAACAGTTCGCTTTAAGTGTTTTCTAAATGAACAAAAGAATTAGGTACTAAAAGCAACATTTCAAAATTCAAATTAGCAGCAAAATTAACAATGAAAACCGTTAAAGTATTTTGGGATAAAGCTGATATTCCTTGCAAGCAGGAAAAGTATATTGTTGAAAGTATTATTAAGTTACATGATAAATGGAGAAGTCTTGCAAAGTCTAAACATAAATGTTTTCCAAAAAAAGATTTACTTATCAGGCTTCAAAAAAATAATGGATAATATATTTGATATTAGTTCTCCAAATTGGAAAGAATATGTTAAAAAAACCAGATCAAATTTAAATGCAGAAGAAGATATTATCTGGTTTTCAGCACTCAAAAGTGGAGTAAAAACCGGAGGACTAGGTGGAAAAGATAATTTGTTGAAATTGAGTGTCAAAAGAAAATAGAGAAGGAGGAAAAAGAAAAATTAAGAATCAATAAAGAAAAGAAAAGAAAAATAAATGATAAAGAAGTTGATTTCAGCATTTATAAAAGTGATAGTGACTCAACTGAAAAATCATTTTTTGCTGGATCTAGAAGTTCTATGTACTCAGATTCTCAGAGCTCTTCTAAAATTGATTATGAAGTAAATAATTTTGAATCTTCTGCAGATGTAGTGGAAAATGTTGTATCAGATAATATCAATTTAATTTTGCCTTTGTTTTGTTTGTTTGCCTTTGTTTGTCATCCAATGTTAACAGCAACAGCTGATAGATCTAAACTATCTAACGCACAGATTATGATGAATGTTTCAGCAATCCTGATTCTAGGTTATTTTTTTATTGTTATTTAAATCACTAATCAGTTTCATGAGTTTTTAATTAGTGTGATGAGTTAATAAGAAAAATTTTATTCTGTATTTTTTAGGTGGTGTTAAAGCTAATGATGTAGATATTTCACTAAACACAATTACAAGAGCACGTAAGCAAAATAGACAAATTATGGCAATAAATATAATTGAAGAATTAAAAAAAAAAAGTTAGATTAGATTATTTAACTCTTCACTGAGAAGGGAAACTTATGAAGCAAATATCTGGTAAAAAGTTTGACTATTTAACTGTTTTAGTAAGTGGTTTTCCAAACTGCGAGGTAGGTAAAATTTTATCTATTAAACCTATTCAGTCAGGCACAGGATATTCTATATGTAAAGGAATCATCGAAGATTTAGAAAAATGGGATCTTAAAGATAATATTGTTGCCCAAGTTTTCGATACAACGGCTTGTAATACTAGAGTAAGAAACGAAGCAGCAACTCTTCTTGAAGAATGCACATCTATAAAAACGCTTCTCTGGCTTGCATGTCGTCATCATGTTTTAGAATTAATCCTAGGGTCGTTTTGGAAAGATTTATTTCAAAAAGAGACATCATCTGATGATAATATAGAGTTTAAACATTTTCAAAAAGAATGGCTTCACTCTAAAAAAATTCCTCTCAAACTTTCAAATAGATCCCTTGATCTTGAAAATTCATTCTTTAAACAAAAAGCAAATGAAACTCGCAATTTCTTAGAAAAAGTATTGCAGTCTAAGCATCATCCAAGAGACAATTACAAAGAGGCTGCAGAACTAGCAATTTTTCTATTAGGTGGAGAAGAGCCCAAGAAATGGAAAACATGTGGTGCTCACTATCATGCAAGATGGATGGCGCATTTGCTTTATGCACCAAAGATGTTAATATTTAAAAAAGATTTAACCGAATCTGATTTAAAAAACCTTAAAATATTTTTGACTTTTAGCTCAGCCATTTACATTAAAGCTTGGTTAGAAGCGCCAAAGACTTGCGATGCACCAATTAATGATATAGAATTATTTAATTATCTAGAAGCACTTAAAGGTATTCCGAACTTCGGTGTACCTGCTGAAAAAGCTCAATATGTTTTAAGCACACACTCTTGGTATCTAACCCAGCATATGTAGATATTAAGTTTATTTTCAAATAAACTTTTTCTAAATGATAAAGATAAAATTGCAAAAAAAATGCTAGAATACGGAAAACCACTTGGTATCAATTGCGGTAAACCAACTCTTCCGCTGATTAGAAAAAATTCCGATATTATTTCTTATATTGGGAAAAAGTCTTGGTTAATTTTTCTTAATTTAAAAGATGATGGAAAATGGCTTAAAATTCATTCTTCAGAATGGTACGACAATGCTTATTATTTGAAAATGAAGCTGTTTATCAAAACTCTAAAAGTGACTAATGACGCGGCTGAGAAAGGAATTAAGTTGTGTTTCGATTATCTCCAAATAATTACAAAAGTAAGCCGTAAAATGAGTAGAGAAGGCAATTAAAAAATCTACATTATCATAAAAATTTACTACTAGAACAGATTAAAATAAAATTTCTTATCTTAAGGACGAGGCTGTACGAAACAAAGTTTTTAAAGTGGTTGAAAATCACAGAAAAGTTGTAGGCAATTGTAATAAGAAGCAACTATTCGTTGTTTTAGCTGAGTATAAATAATAACCGCTTTTTTATTACCTTTTCTGTTTTTCATTAGCCTGGTCATAAGCCTGGTCATTAGCCTGGTCATAACTGTTACGAATAATTTGAATAGCCCCAAATATTTTTTTTCCAAATTAATCAACTCTTCTGTAATTCAGGCAATCTATCATTTAAAAAGGAGTAATAAAAGCAGTTATTACTTGTATTGTGGTAAATCCCTACCATATGGGGGAGAAAAGTGTCACCAAATATCACATGGAGAGGGTAGTTAGCTACAATGTGACGCAAATTACAATTCTTGTAATAGCAGAATTAGTAAACTTTTAGCAAAAAATTACTTAGAGATATATCTTTTTTAATAATAACAGCACTGCGCATCAAAGAGGGGGCGGGGGAGGAGTTGATAAACAAGTAATACAAAATGATACATGGGGGAAGTTCAAAAAGGGTCAAAAACGTGTTGTCTATTAAATGAACAGCCTCAAATAACAAATATTTCCTATATATATAAAAATTCTAATCTTTTTTCACTTTCCTAAAAAATCCTAATTTTGACATATTTTAGACTAAAAATGAAAATAATCAAATCAAATTCGGCAACACTCAATGATGTTTTTTTCCAATTTTTTTTTTATAGTTTGTATTTATATGCGAAAAGGATCACGTTTTTTTGCAGACATGTTAAATTTTAAAATTTTTTAAAATTTTTTAAAATATATATATATATATATATATATATATATATATATATATATATATATATATATACATATGCTTTTGTTGTTGACTTGTGTAATCTATTCACTTTTATAAAATTTCCAAGATGATTAAAAAAAAAAAAAATAAGAAGAAATTAAGGAATGCAGTCAAATTTTAACTTTTTTTAAGGTTATTTAAGAAGGTTTTTATTTTTTAAGGATGTTTAAGGTTTTTAAGGAGGAGTGGGAACCCTGTTATTATGTATTCAAGGTGATTATTATTATGAAATAATAATAATCACCTTAATAACATTTCGTGATAATAATCACAAGGTGATTATTATCACGAAATGATAATCACCATAAATATCAGAAAATGATCATACTGTTTATAAATGTAATAATCTTAACTGTTATCAATAAAAAACCAAAAAATTTTATATTATTAAATACAATATAAAACACAAACCAGGTGACTCAATGGTTTCAACAGATGCACTAACAAAACTCCCTGTTCCTTTTGAAGTAAAAGCAGCAACACTCACTTCATACCTTGTACGTGGTAGTAGAGGTCTTATAACTGCACCTAGTGCTATAGGAACTTCTACAAACTCTGACCATTCATTGATGTTATTAAATACTCGATACCTTTAAATAAAAAATTTCTAATACACTATTTCCAATTCTATCAACTAATATATATATATATATATATATATATATATATATATATATATATATATATATATATATATATATATATATATATATATATATATATATATATATATATATATATATATATCTAATAAAATTATAATTTATAGGGAAAACCTTAACATTAAGAAAGATTTGTTTTATCTTTAACACTTTTATATTTAACGAAAAAAGTGCTTTTCATTTCGAAGGCTTTTCTGTTTATAATAAAAATTAAATCTCATAATAATAATACAGTTTTGTTCTTAAAATCTTAGTTTTAGTATTAATTAAATAACTATATATATATATATATATATATATATATATATATATATATATATATATATATATATATATATATATATATATATATATATATATATATATATATATATATATATATATATATATATATATATATATAGCCCTTTCAATTAGGGTTAGCATTGCTGAATGCCAACTGCTGACTTTAAAGTATTTGAGGTCAGCAAAAAATCCCTGACCTCATTTCTATGTTTTATAGTAACCCTTTTGAGTCATATTTTTTTTGCCAACATGATGCTGACCTCTAAAAGTCTGAGGTTGGTAATACATTGCCGACCAATTTTTTCCTAATTCTAAGGGTTGTTATATATATATATATGTATATATATATATATATATATATATATATATATATATATATATATATATATATATATATATATATATATATATATATATATATATATATATATATATATATATATATATATATATATACTACACTAGGCAGATGTCTCTTTTGGTAAGAAAAACTAAAATGACTGTTAAAAAAATACCAACAGTTTCTTTCTGCTAACTTTTGGTCAAGATCTTCAATAAAGTTCATGGTGTAAGATCTTATAATTATCTTAGAAGCTTAGGATAATATAAGTAAAAGTCATAGAAATCATAATTTTTATTTCTGTAATATTTAGAATCCATTGATGGCTATTACCATTGTGACTATTACCAAGTTGCTAGGAGAGAGATTGAAGTGCTCTTAAAAGAAGGCGAAATGTTTGAGAAATAGGACAACAGCTTGGTATGCCCATATCAACTGTTCAAGATACTTTGGGAAGAATTAAATTTGAGTACTTAAAAGTTTGCTAAGATCTGAGCGAAAAACAAAAATAACTCCAAGAAATGATATAAAAAATTCTGTGACTCTAAATGCAACAGATATTGCAAAATAACTCAGAGAACTCGAGTTAGTCAATATAAGTCCTCGAAATGTTAAAAAAAAGCTGCAAGAGTATGATTTACATAATAGAGAACTTGCCAAAAAACCTTTACTTATCAAACGACATATTGCAAAGAGGGTAGCATTTGCAAAGAAGTATCAAAACTGGATTGGTGATTGAAAGAAGGTAGTATGGTCAGACGAAAACAAGAATATGCCTTAATGGTTTAGATGGTAGACGTCAGACATGGAGAAGAACAAGTGAATTAATGCAACAAAAACACATTAAAAAGACAATAAAGCAAGTATGTCATGACAAGTATGTCATGGCTTGTGGATGCTTAAGCTGGATTGTATAGAGGATAGATTGACTTCCCCTTAGTATGTTAGAATACTTTCAAACCATATGCTACTATCTGCTCAATTACTAAATGATTATTTTTTTTATGGTGCTGTTCGCTGCAATTAGTCTTACAACTAGTAAAATGTTGTTTCATTCAGAAAGGGTAAAAAGTAAACATTAGGACCGTCACGCAACGCAGAGTTAATTTTTGAAATAAGTTTAAGACTTGAAACTTCTCAGAAATGTTGAATAATATTACATAACTTGGTATGCAAAAGTTACAGTATTGAAGTCTTATACTTTTTTCAAAAATTAACTCATCGTAGCGTGACGGTCGTAACATTTACTTTTTACCACTTCTGAACAAAACAGCTTTGTCAAACTAGTTACAGCAAATGGCATGGTAAAAAAAAAATCGTTTGGTGTGTGTATTTAGCACATATTGATGTTATTATATGCTGAGTTTCATAGGTTGAACTTAATGCTATTAGCATTTTTATGTTTTTTTTTGTTGTGACAGTCGTAACCATGACGGTAGTAACGAAAAATCTAATCTTGTAAAGCAATATATATATATATATATATATATATATATATATATATATATATATATATATATATATATATATATATGGTTTTTATGAATATTCATCTTTACAATCTTTATTGCGTTGTTTTATTCATCTTATTCATAAAACAACGCAATCAAATAAAAAAGATGAATAATCATAAAAACCATATATATATATAAAGATATATATATATATATATATATATATATATATATAAAGATATATATATATATATATATATATATATATATATATATATATATATATATATATATATATATATATATATATATATATATATATATATATATATATATATATATATATATATATATATATATATATATATATATATATATATATATATATATATATATATTAGGGTGACACAAAATTAAAAAAAAAAGCTGCAGTACATTTTCCGGTTCTACCAAACTTCTGAAATCTACAAAAACAATTTTAGATCCATAAGTGATCAGGAAGAGCTACATGTAAATTTAAAAATTTTACGTTTCAAGCCCTTTTTTTTTCTTCGCATTATTTTATTATTTTCACATCATTCAGCAAGTTTTCAAAACATGTGTCAAAAACTCAAGATGTTTATAAAACATTTGTGGTCATTCACAATTATTTTTAAAAACTTTAATTGCACCATAAACTTAGTGGATTGCGTTTAATCACTTGGTTTTTCACAATCACTTGGTTTTTCACAGTTTAATCACAACTTTTGATTTATCAATTATCTTACTTTAAACTTCGATTTTTTTTTTACTGTTTACATATCCGTACAAAATGTTATGGTAAATAAAAGACTTTGTGCAACAGTAAAACCTTTCAAATCAAAAAGCAAATTTCCGAATGCCACAAAAATGACTTTTACAATATGGTAGAGCAATTGTTTGACATCAGTGCAAAGGACTTTGAGATGAAGTTGAGATGAAGTTGTTTGTTTTTATTACATAACATTTTGTAACTTCATCTCAAAGGACTTTGAGATGAAGTTACAAAATGTTATGTAATAAAAACAAACAAAACAAATAACATAAAACTAAAAAAATTAAAACTCTAATAAAAAATAATTTATTTATAATTGTTATTGTTTTTTTTTAATCAATAAAACTTTTATCTTTTCTAATGTTTTTGACTTACTAAATTTATGAATTTAAAAAAGTTTATTTAAACACATTTGTTGTTGTCATTGTTTATAAAATTAATCAAACTAATTGTTTTAAAACATTTACACTCAGCATAAAAAAAAAATACTTTGAGATATGAAATGAATAAAAAATTTATTTAATATTCTATAATAACTTATTTAATAGTGTTTTAAAACTTTATTTAAAAGCATTTAGCGTAAAAACATTTTATTAAAAAGTTTACAAAGCATTATAAAAAACAACTTTGTTATGTTTTTGACTATTAAATTTATATATTCATTTAAAAGTTTATTGAAACAGTTGTTATTGTTTTTAAAATTAATTGCGCAATTGTTTTAAAAACATTTACATTTATTGTAAAAAATACACTTTTTAACTATATAATATCTTTTGATAATTTAAATAAAATGTTTTTTATAGTACACAATCACTAAAAGAACTTCTCACATTATTACTATATTTCAGCACATTTTTGAAAGTTTTTGCAAAAACAAATCAAATGTCAGGAATAGCGTGCGATTACACACATTTTCTGCTTATGATTGCATTTTGCCAAGAGTAAAATGCAGTCATATTTAGAAAAGAAACAACCTTTCCGACCAATGTAATTAAAAATAAAACAGAAACAAATAAATATACAGTTACAAAATGAGAATAAGTTTTATTCTGATGTTGAAACTGCATATTTATTTTTATGTTGTAACTGCATATTTATTTTTATGTTGTAACTGCATTTTTTAATATCTTACAACATCAAAATAATTTTTACAACTCCTCCAAGGTTAAAAAAATAAATTATGTAACAACAAATCAAAACTAATTCCTACTATCAATACTGGTATCTTAAAACTCTTGCAGTTGTATATACATTAGAGAAAAAAAAAGGAGAGTTCTAACGAGATGCTTTAAACATCAAAAAAATTATTTAAAAGGTAAGTGGGATAGCTCTTATCGAACATGGTTGAAAATATGATGGTACAGTGTTGACGAAAATTATTGCAACTTTTCTAAATTTAACATAAATTTAAATATAAAATTCGAAATGAATTTGATGTTTATATATCATATATTCATACAAAAATGATAAAACCAAACAGCAGCACACTATGTAAACATAAAATTATGATGTCATTATAGATAAACGTGCTGTGTTATAGATTTTCCTTACAAAACCATACTTGGGAATAGCATAGAAAATTTTCATTTTTTTTTCTTTTTGAGAGGTATAGTTAAATCATAATGGGTCTGGCAAAGGAGATTTCACCAAGAAAATGTGTGATTATTATTCAATATTTGAAGGATGGCATGAAGCAGCGAGATATTTCTAAGAAATTGATTTAACTAAGTCTTCAGTTAGTCAAATAATTAAGAAATACAAAGCTTCCGGGTCAGCATCACCACTGAAACATTCTGGATGAGCCAAAGTAACAACAACATGTGATGACTCTCTACTCTGACGCTCTGCAGTCAGAAATCCGACTTATTCAAGTCTTCAAATAAAACTAGACACTGGTTGCGGTGCGAGTATACGAACAATACGTGACCGACTGTGTTCGTTTGGTTTAAGAGCTCGACCTCCATCCCGCAAACTTCTGCTATCTAAGCAGCAGCGACAGAAAAGAGTTCAGTTTTGTAATAAATATAAGGACTGGAATGCAGAAAGATGGTCCAAGGTATTGTTTTCCGGCGTGTCTACATTTCTGCAAGTTGGATCTGTCACGCAGTATGTACGTAGACCAGTTGGATCTCGAGATGATATTCGTTACACCTTGCCGACAGTTAAACATTCACCTCAAATTATGGTTTAGGTTTTTCAGCAATGGGGCAAGGGTCTCTATACTTTATACCAGCGAAACAGATGTAAACTCCGCTGAATATTTAAAGATTTTAAATTTAAAACTACCCCTAGCCATGCGCTTGCATTGTTGTGAACTGTTTCAACAAGACTCGGCACCATGCCATACCAGTCGAGTTGTAAAAAAGTAGCTAACTGACAATGGGATTCAAGTTCTGGACTGGCCAGGCCAGTCCAAAACTTGAGAACAGTCCTGAAGAAAAGTAAGAAAATATTACAGTAAACGCATTGAAGAACTCATTTACAACATTAAAAAGGTGTGGTGCACCAAAATCACCCCGGATCTTTGTCAAAAACTGGTTCAGTCGATGCCAAACCGTATCAAATGTGTGTTGAAAAACCATGGACAGCCTTCTAAGTACTAGATATTTATATATGAACACTTCTTTTAATAATACTCTTGTGTATTTGTTTAACGTGTTTTTTTTTTTAAAGTTGCAATACTTTTTGCCAACACTGTATGTTTGATTGGTCATAACCTAAAACTCTATGAAGAATCTAAAGTGAGAGAATCACTTGAAACTAACTACGTCTTAGCATACCAAGAAAAAAAACACTCCCATATTTATAAACCATGAGAAATGGGCTAAAATATCTAGTTGGAGACCTCTGATTAAAAAAATTATACAAAAAAACTATAAACTATAAAATAATAATATTTTTAAATAAATATATTTACTTAAATGATATTTTTTACTTTAATTAAATAATATTTTCTTATTCTTTTATATTTACAATTACGGCCCGTCCATCTCAGAAAACTCTGAAAAAAAAGGGATACCAAAAAAACATTTCAATAATCCAGAAATTATTTTAAAACATGATAAAGGTAATAGTGTCATCATATTATAAAAAGAAAATTACAAAAATGGTATTTATAAAATTATTAATGATAAAACAAAATTCAAACAACTAAAGAAAGATGTTACCACAATTTGAGAAAATCAACTTACTAAGAATGCTAAAAGATTTCTAGGGAAACTGAAAGCAAAAGGTTTTTATAATGATTCTACAGGCACATCCTTTATTTATCCTTAGTTTATCCTTAAGGATCCCATCCTGCTGGTATCTATGGTCTTCCAAAGATACACAAATTAAATTTTTCTGAGACTACTGTAAACTTCAGACATATTGGTACCTATAATTATCAACAAGTCAAATTCCTTAGAGATTTGTTATCTTCCCTAATATCCACTGAGTTTTGCACAAAAGATTTATTTTCCTTTATTAAATAAATAAATCAATTCAATTTCCACGACAAATTTTTTGTACCATATGTGACAAGCTCATATACCTATATTCTGCTTCAGGAATTTATTAAAAATTGCAGTTAATTCATAAGTCTAAATATATATATATATATATATATATATATATATATATATATATAGAGAGAGAGAGAGAGAGAGAGAGAGAGAGAGAGAGAGAGAGAGAGAGAGCAAGAGATAGTAAAAAAATCTAAATAAAATAATAAATAATCAAAGAATCACTTTATTCTATATCCTTTAAGTTCACCAGCAGACTCTTTAGGTAATTTCCAACTAACTGTAAAAGCATCTGAATATATCCCTGACACCATTAAATCGCGAACAGCATCAGGTACTGAAATCAAAAATTTAATAAAAATTAAACATTTGATAATGTTATTTAATAAAAGTTGATATAAAATCTTCCCATTGCAATGGAATGATTTCCATTGCAACTGGAAGAACTACTTTATTTTTTTATGTTTATTTTTACAAAGAATTGTTTAAATGTTTTTTTTTTAAACTTGACTTTCTAATGAAATGATTAAAAATTAAATTAAATTTTTTATAAACTTTTTAAAGTCTTTGCTTAAACTTTCTAAAAAAAAAATTGTTTTAACAAGCATTTTTTTTTTACCCCCTTCACTGGTTTTAAACTGTACTGCTGAACTTCCTGGACTTGGACCACCTGATGTAGCAACCGCAACTGCCAAAGTATATTCAGTATTAGGTTTCAAATTTGGCAATACAAAGGTTTGGTGGTATAAAGAAGAAGGATTATAATCTGTAGAATATTCTTGTTGGTCTTGTGGACGACCAGGAGGCCATGTTCTTGCCTAAAATAAAAATAAGATGGTTACAAAGACAATTAAAAAAAGAATCCCAGTCAGCTTTAGGGTAGTTGCAGTTAGATTGGATGAGTCCAAATAAGTATAAATTATAGAGATCAATTGCATAGCTGGAACTACCTAAACATGAATAAGAAAAAACTGCTAGGGTCTGAGAAAAGATACAAATTAGGGTCACAAGCTAGGGTCTGAGAAAATATACAAATTAAGGATTGAAGTAAGTGATTAGGGTTGTCTGGAAGAAGAGTAACAAATTTAACTATATGATTAAGAGATTGAGAATTGCAGAAGGTATGAGCTTAAGTGGCAGCAGGGCTAGTGGTGTTAGAGTCAAGCCATTCATTTTACTAAATTACAAAAAATATTTTGATTTAGTAAAAAATTATACAAATATATATATATATATATATATATATATATATATATATATATATATATATATATATATATATATATACATATATATATATATATATATATATATATATATATATATATATATATATATATATATATATATATATATATATATATAATTATATATATTTTTTACTTGTTTTATTATTGTTTTATGTTTATTATTTATTTATGTTGCCAGCCAAAATCATGACACAATTATACATGTTTTGTAATTATTAGAGTTCGCAGGCAGAGAAAAAACAAAGGCAATATGATGCGGTTCTCCGTTTTATATTTAGATTATATGGTTCAATAGAGTTATTTGTTTTATGTTTAATTTACATTTAGTTATGGTTTAACTCTTCCACTACCGCAAACCACTGGTAGCGGCTTTCGAGTATGCTTTACAATTTAGTACATAAACTTCTATTCTAGACTCATAGAATTTGTTTGTTCTGAGGTTTAATTAATTCTCTACATATTCAAGAAAAAATAAGAGCTGTAATTGTGTAATTTTAAAAAAAATATCACAAAGTTAAAAAATCTTGAATAATCCTTCATAAAAAAAACTTTAAACTTTGTTATAAAATAAAACACTGTAAAATTAACTTGTAGAAGTGTTAAGTATTTAGTTAAGTGATTACCAAAGTATTTTGAAAAAAAAATATTATTTTTATTTATCAAATGAGGTTTGTTTTGGAGTTAATGTTTTAGTTATTACTTACAAAAACGATAGTTTTAAGCATTTTGCATTTCTTTTTGTTTAATAAAGCGTGTTAAAAACTTTATTATCAAATTTTAATTAATTGTCAACGTTATGCTATCAATAGTTACATGCTTTTTGTTTTTCTAAATGTTTTAATAATGTTTAGCATGCTGATTTTCTATATAAGTTTTCTTCTAACAATGTATCAGCTAACACCTTTAAGATTATTGAATTCTTCCATACCATTTGTAGTATAACAGTTGTCCTTGATGGATAGCACTTTTCTTCAAACCCTGTAACTTCACGGGTTCATCAAGGTTCTATCCTTGACACTATACTCTTTTTAATTTACATTCTAACAATCTTTCGGATATTCTCACATCTAAGGTGGCACTGTTTGCTGATGATACTGCCATTTATACTTGTATTATAAGATGTCAACAATCTCTGATTGCTTGGAAGAGGCATTTGAGCTTGAAAAGAATCTCAATTTGACTACAGCATGGGGCTCACAGTGGCTAGTAAACTTTAATTAAGATAAAACCATTTTTTTTTTCAGTCAACTGTTAATAACAGTTTTTGCCAACCCCGACTGTTATCGCAATTATTTAGATCTTCCTTTATTTATAAATGGTAATGAACTCGATGAATCATCTACCCTTCATCTTCTAGAATTAACTTTTACTTCCAATCTTTCTTGGAAACCATATACCAAACTCGTTGCAAAATTAGCATCTGCTAAGGTTGCATCACTTTATTGCGATCAACACTTTTTTATTCCATATTCCATTATTTATCTCTATAAATTTCAAACCCGTCCTTGTATGGAATATTCTTGCCATATCTGGGGCAAACTTTTTAATAACGACCCTTCTCTTTTAGACAAGGTGCAAAAACGGATTGTAACTATAGTTGGACCTGTTCTTGCAGCCATTCTCCAACCATTATCGTATTATCGTAATGTTACCTCTCTTTCCGTTCTCTACAAACATTATAATGGGCACTGTTTTTAAGAGCTACAATCTCTTGGGTACCATCTACTAAAGTTCATTCTCGTGTTAATTAGACCTTAAGTTCTTTGCGCTTTTGCTGTCGCTGAAGTCACTTGATCATGCCATTTAAGGTCGAATTAAGATTATAAATTAATCACTCTTAAATCTCTTTCACTTACTGTTGTATTTAATTTGTGCTCTTTGCTGTTGTGGGTCATACAATAACTCATTTGTGGATTTGTGGATATAAGTTAGTTAGTTAATATAAAATCTTCCCTTTGCAATGGAATGATTTAACTGCTTTATTTTTTAGCTTTTATTTTTACAAAGAATTGTTTAAAAGCTTTTTTTTTTTAATTGACTTACTAATGAAATGATTAAAAATTAACATTATAAAAAGACTACATTATTAATTAATTTTTTTTTTTTTTTGCAACATTTTCAAAAAAATGTTTAAACAATTTAAAAATATTAAATTCTTTTCTTTACAATAATTTAATTTAATTTTTCAACAAATTAAATAAAATTTGTTCATTTATTAAACAATCATAAAAAAAAATTTGTAAAATTTATTAAATAATCATAAAAAAGTAATTTGTAAAAGCGTTTTGCATAACTTTAATAAATGTTTCAAAAGATAAGTTTTAAAGCAATTTATTTCAAATGCAATTAAAAACGTAACCAAAAAGTAATTTTTGCTTAGAGTTTTTTCAAGTTTTATTTTAAAGCTTAAATATAGTTTTTTTCACAGAAATTGTGTTCTTTTTTCTTTTGTCCTTTTTCTAGTTGTCAGACTTAAAAAAAAATGATTTTGAGTTTTTTCCTAGTTGTTAGACTTGAAAAAAAAAGATTACAAATGCTAAACTAAACTGCTTAGGTTGCTGTTTCTTTTTTCAGCGCATTTCTGAAATGTTTAAATCATCAAAACATCTAAACAGCCATGGTAAAAATGCCAACAACAAAAAAATCATTTGTGTGGTCAGGAATAGCATTTGATTGCCATTCCTGTCCAGCCTGTTTTTATATGTAATAAAACCAAGTTTATATTTTATAAAATGGAAAAAAAAATTTAATTTATCAACTTTCGAGTCACAATGAACTATTTTAATTGATTTAACCATATATTTGGTAAGACTGAAACAAATTTGAAATCATTACCATAGACTGGTTTTAAACTGTGGTAAAGACAAGAAAACCTTTTAAAAAACAATTTAAGAAATTTTAAATTTCAAACATTAAAGATTAAAGAATACACAACAACTAAAAATTAATTTACTATTATCTTTGTTAATTGTCCATTCCACTGTTGTTGGGGAGGAGATGTAAAACTGACAGAAACAGTTGTAGCAGTTAAAACAGACACTGAAACATTTGTTGGAGGAGCAGATGGAACTAGAGAAATATATACATAAAATATACACAGAATATATACATGTATAAAATATATACATGTATAGAATATATACATAATATATACATAAAATATATACATGTATATATATATATATATATATATATATATATATATATATATATATATATATATATATTTATATATATATATATATATATATATATATATATATATATACATATATATGTATGTATATATATAAATGTATAGAATATATGCATAATATATACATATAGATGTATGTATATAAAAATATATACATAAATATACAGTATGTCAAATCGCCTCCTGATGATTTTTCAATTAAAACAAATTTTTTCATGTTTAAATTTAGATTTTTGACCTTAATTTTTTTTAAATATTGAATTTGTATTAAAAAAATATTTTTATAACAAGAAATTAATATTCTTATACAATAATTGTCTTATACAATAATATCTTATACAATAATACAAAAATATCTTATACAATAATTGTCCACTAAATTAGAAAAAGTCAAAAAAGTGTATCACTCCTTAAATAATTATTTTGCTGATATAAAATTAATAGTCTATTTGTGCGTCTTTTGCCTTAATGACTGCAAGACATCTTTTGGGCATTGAATCTACTAAGTTTTTAAGCCATTGTGGGTCAAATTTTTCCCACTCTTCAATAAGAACTTAAAAACCATCGACTTTGTCGCCTTTAATTGCGACAAACTCTATGGTTTTTGATCAGCTTCTTTAATTTTAAAAAGATTCCATAAATTTTCAATTGGATTTAGATCTGGTGACTGAGGAATCCACTCTAACATCTTAATATTGTTTTTTTTTTAACCACTGAGTAGCTAACTTTGATGTGTGTTTAGGATCTCCATCCTTGAAAGATAAAATTATGAGATAAGTCAGCACTTCTGACGCTTAATCTCAGTTTTCACTTCAGAATATCAGTATAAACCTCTTTTGTCATTATTCCTTCAATGAATTCGAGTTCGCCAACACGAATCCAAGCAAAGGAGCCCCAAACCATCATTCGACCTATGAGAAGAGGAAAAAACAAGTTAAAAATATATATAATATTGAAAGTTTTATAATAAAGCTTAATGTTACCTCCTCCATGCTTGACAGTTGGTCTCATACATTTAGGGTTTAAGCGTTCACCATTTTTTCTCCATTTGCGTATGATACCATCAGAACCAAATAAACATATTTTTGTTTCATCGGACCATAAAATTCTTCGCCATTGGTCGCTAGTCCAATTTGAATGTTTCTTAGCTCAAGCCAATCTTTTCTTTTGATTCTTTTTACTCAAAAAAGGGCTTTTTTGGAGCAACTCTACCTAAAAAACCTTGATTTTTCAACTGATTGCGAACAGTTTGTGGATTTACAGTTATACCATGATCTGTTTTTCAATCTTTTGCAAGCTTTGGTGCAGATAATCCTCGATCTTGTTCAACTTTCCGAATAATTTCTCAATCAATCCGTAAAGTAGTCTTAGCTGGGCGTCCTTTTCTTGGCAAATTTTTTATGGTACCCATATTTTTATATTTTCTTATGATATTTTCTACACTATTAGGTTTAACATTTACTATTTTAGAAATAGTTTTATACCCTATTCCACTTTTATAGTGTCCCAGGATCAGCTTTTTTTAATGATTCATGAATTTTATATCTATTCACCATAATTATATATATATATATATATATATATATATATATATATATATATATATATATATATATATATATATATATATATATATATATATATATATATATATATATATATATATATATATATATATATATATATATATATATATATATATATATATATATATATATATATATATATACATATATACACACACACACACACACTTATAAAAATCAAATAACTTTCAAAATGTATTTTTCTTAAGCAAAAAAAAAAAAAGTATTGTAAATTCTGTTTAAAATATCTGAGTAATTATAAAAATTGATAAGACTTTGTAAAAAAAATAACTTTAACTAAAAATGCAAATTTAAACATATAATTAACAATTAAAGAATATTTAATTTCAATTGTGTAAATGAAATTCTTATTTTTTATAAGTTATTCTGTTTAGTAAGTGTAATTTTATTATTAAATTATTGTTTTATTATAAAAATAAACTTTGATATACAATTCTAACAATTTAGGGTTAAAAATATTGGTTAGGGTTAAAAATATTGGTCAGAAATAAATATACTATCTAATTTAAACAAAACAAAATCAATGATTTTAACAATGGAATTCAGCAACTTGAGTTATCTGTCAAGTATAACTAAACCATCCAACTACTTGAGCTTTTCAAATATTTAATCAGAAAGATATATACTATCAGAAATAAATATACTATCTAATTTAAACAAAACAAAACCAATGATTTTAACAATGGAATTCAGCAACTTGAGTTATCTGTCAAGTATAACTAAACCATCCAACTACTTTTCGAATATTTAATAAAAAATATTTGAATACTCGAAAAGCTCATCAAAAGTAAAATGAAGTATTAAAAAAAATTAAGAATAATAATAATTCAATAAAAAAAAAGTTTAATAATTAATTTTGAATGATTCTATTGTTCTTTTAAAAATTAAAAAAAAAAAAAAAAAACATATTTTAAAAATAAAGTAGTTAAAAAAAAAAAAAAAAACTTAATGTTTCAAAAATAAAACTTGTTCTTATTTATGTTTTAATTGACCTGCTATTGAGGCTGGGCTGGTAATTCAACTCTTTCAAAAGCTGTTGAGGCAAATTGTTACCAAAGCGTAATACAAAACGCTTAAGGTTGTCAATCATTTTTTGAAAGAATCTAATTGACAAATTCTTTCTCCAGCTCAATATATTTATTAATTTGACAATGATTTTGTGTGTTTTGTGGATCTGAAATAGAGCTTAATGTATTTTGGAGTTCTTTTTGCAATCCAACTTGTGATGTTATTTCTATTAAATCAGGTGAAAAAAGAGTTAGCATCATTATTGAAACATCTATAAACATTTGGAGATCTATTTGTTACATAATTTTAACAGTGAATAAATTGCTGCATTTTTTGAAGAATATTTAAAATGATTGTTAGAACTTGGTATATTTCTGCTATGTAGATAAATAATAAGAGTCATTAAAACTAGATCTCTTCTACTGTCCATCCTTTTTTTTTGATAGCATGTATCAGTTCTTCGGCTATACTAGTTTGCATTGATTGCAACTTTTCAAATAAAATTTGTAAACTTTTTCAGCTGTTATAAGACTTGCATCATTTTTACTCAAGGTTTAGTAAATCGCATTTAAGAAAAGGATATTTTAGCATAAAAATTACCTTTTCTGAAATCTGCGATCAAAATTCAAGTTGATTAAAGACCTATAAATACATTCGGAATCAAAAATTGTTGAATCATTACATCCGAGGAATTACATCAAATTTTTGCTTTAACTTTAACTTTTTTAAAAGTTTTTCCCCAATGTTTTTGTTATAATTTGTTGCAAAATAGAATCCTTTAAAGCCAATTTTTTAAACATTTTTGTAACATCTTTTAAATTGGTGATAATTTGATCAAAGTATTTTAGCCATAACATAATCTTATTCTTCACTAAAATCAGAATTGCAATCAGAGTACTGATCTTCAATGGGATCTTAATTTAAAACATCTAACAGATTTCCATATTTTTTTTATTACATCTGCCACTAAAATTGCACTTTGTATTTTTAATTTAGTACATTTTTATTGATACAATTTGAAATAATTATTGAACTTTTTGGCATTATATATCCTTTTTGTTGCACATAACCAGCAATAGCTTGAGATTTAATCATTGCAATGATCGCCATTCCATCAACAACCACAACTTTTGACAATATTTCATTTAAACATTCTTTTTTAACTAATTTCCAAACAGTAATTTTTTTTTAAATAATATTACTTACTTCACAATTTTCACTTGATCCTGATTTAGATATTATTAAGTTATGTCAATCAAAGATCATCTAGGTCGTACTTAAAAAATCTGGAAAACATTTTGAAAAAATCAGGAAATTTTTATTCATATTACTATTTTTAATAAATAAATTAAATTTATGAAACAATTTTAAATATTGATTATGATTATTTACAACCATTTATAAGCAACCTAAATAACCTACTGTTTCAAAAACCAACTAAAATAATGCTACACAAAATAAAAACCATACCAAAAATGTATTTTCGTTTCTACACATCAAGCCTTCGTAAAAATGTTTAGATTTTTTTTCTTCTATTGTCGTTTTAAATACTTTTTAATAGTAATATATATTCTTTTTAATTCAAATATTTCCATACCAAATACTTATTTCAATTATTTCAATATTTTAGTGCAAACCTCTCTTCTTTTTTTTTTTTTTCCTTAAAAAATTATTCTAATATTTAAAAATATATATTTGAATATCAAATAGTCAAAAAACATGCAAACATATTTGAAAATCAAGTATTCTTGTTGACAATACTTCTAGTATTCAAGAAAATCAAGTATTCAACTGTGATGGTCTAAGTACAACTTTAACAAACTTTAACTTACCAATGGATCAGCAAATAAAAGGCAGAATTATTGTAATAACTATAATGAAAGTTGTCTCCCCAAACATCGCAATGAAGGCCATCTTTCCAGACATCAAAGTTAACTGATTTTAGGTCAATGAAACTTGTGACAAAAACATAAATTTGTTACTGCTTGAGATGTAATTAAAGAATTAGAACTAAGTTTTAGATGATACTCTAACAAGACAAATTGACATTTTAGTAACAGAGATGCAAAAAAATCATTTATTTCAGAAAAAGATAAAAAGCTAAATTAGAATTTGCTCATGCTTATAAAAATTAGATAGAAAAACAATGAAGCCACATTTAATAGAGCAGTGAATCAAAATTTAACCCAAAATGAAAGCAATTGAACCAAAGGTATAGAATAACTCTTCGTCAAAATAGTAGTTAAATAGGAGTGGTAAAACAGTTTTTAATGCTGATCAGTTGTAAATTGACCTGATTTTCAAACTTTTGTTTTTTTGTTTTGATATAATTGGTTGTTATTTATTTTGTAAAATGCAAGAGTTTTTTAGTTATAACAAATATTGTTTTTATAATTTTAGTGTTTTTAACATACTAAATAACAATTTGTTATCTAAACGCTTTATAGAAGAACTCCGATTTTCCACTAAATATCTCTGTTTATAGAAGAACTCGGATTTTCCACTAAATATCTCTGGGACATGAGGATAAATAATGAAAATAAAATAATTATAAGATCTCTATTAGTTCAACTTAATTTTAATAATTTGATTTTCTTATATAATTTATCTTATTAAAGCTATTAACGATTCATTTTCACCAAAAAAACTTATGTAATAAGTTTTTTTGGTGAAATAAAAAGTCTATGTAATGCAATATAATAATGTCAACCTATAACACTTTAGCAGGCCTTGCGATAAAGCGTCGGGCGATGTGAATTTTACGTCGTCCAAGAGCGATTTTGCGTGTAGCTAGGGCTTTTTGCGTCGAGCAAAAAATTTTTTGTTTGAGTATATTTAAAGATATTTTTGAGCGGAATTTTAATGTAGTAATTTACGATTATTTTAACATTTAATAAAGTATTTTAAAAACCGCACGCAGTTGAAATAAAAGTTTGAATTAAAAAAAATTAAATATGCTCTTTATTTACAAGTAGAAAAAATTCAGATTAAAAAACAAGTTTAAATATTTTAAGCTAACATTTTAATAAAATTATTCAGCAATAGCAAAGTTGTCGATAAAATTGAACAAAAATACTTTCTTTTTGTTTTAGATTTTAAACTTAAATAATTATTTTACGGGGGTTTGTTAGGTTTTAAAATTATTCCATAGATTTAAAAATATTTATTAACTGTTAGACGTATTTAAAGTATTTAAGAGTAATTTCGAGGAAACATTTTAAAAATTGGTGAGCGTAAGTAAATAAAAAAAAAAGGATTAATATTAAAACGTATTCTACTTGATTCAATAAAAAAGTACTGTTATTAAAATTTTTGTAAAAAGTAACTCAAAAAAATTACTTAAATAATAACGATCTCTTTTATGTTAAAAGTTAACGAAACTCAACGAAGCGTGCTCAAGAACTGCTGCTGAAAAATAAAACGTCAATAGTTTTTCAAATAATTTTTAATAATATTTTTTAAGAATAATTTTTTCGCTGAAATATTTCTTTTATACCTATAAGATTTTTATTCTAACATTTTATTTTATTTTACTAGAAATAAAATTCCTTGTTAACATTAAAAATCTATTCAAAACGTTCGTTTAAGTTTTTTATTAATACGAGTGATTGTGCTTATCAACCGCTTTATGAAAATAAATAAAAATAAATAAATATTATATAAAATCGCTTGTAAAAATATCAGTTTTTAATCGTACAATATTAAAATTTCCAGTTTTTTACTCGCTGACTTTTTAAAAAGAAAAAATAATTATTTGAAAAACTTTAAATTACATATTTAAGAAAAAAAAATCAAATATTAGCATATTTTATAATCTTTTTTAAATTTAGGTTAAAATGTTTTTTATTCGTTTAGTATAGACAAAACGTGACAAACGTCGAGAAAATAAACAAATGTTTTTACATTTTAAAAAACGAAACATTCCAAAACATTTTTAAATAATAACATAAACGATTTAAAGTAGTTTTGCGGTAATTAAGTAAATTGGTGAAGTTAATGTTGATAAATATGAAAAGTAAATAAAAAGAATTTAATGACGTCAAAAATCACGTCGTGCTTATGAGTCGCGCAGTTCTTATTCATCGCAAGGCCTGCTTTAGGATACAACACACTCACAAATACATACACATATTACAATGGAAACAAGTTATAACTGTTTTTAAAAAGAAACCGAAATATATATCTTGAATAATGAATAATTTTGAATAAATAATAGAATTGAATAAATAATCTTGAATAAATTATTTTTATTTAGTATTTAATCAAATTTTCATACTTCCTTGTTTTGTATCAACATTTATTGTAGAGCTCCATGGTCCGATACCAGCCTTATTATATGCAGCAACTTTAAGTTCATAACGTGTAAATAACGGGAGACCTGTCATAGTATACATTGGAGTAATTCCTTTGACATCAATGTTAGTAAAATCCATACCATAGCCTGCCAGCCTATAACCAATGTAAAAACCTAACAGTTCTCCATTATGAGTTGATTGTGGTGGAATCTAAAGCAAAATAAGAAGTAAAAAAACAAATTTGTTGTGCTTGTTTAAAAAAAATTATCTTATTTTTAAAAAACTATCCTTCCTTTTTATTTTTAAAAAAGTTTTTGAAACATTGTTTTATGTTTGCTTAATGTTTACTAAAATAAGGATAAACATTAATTGATATAATCGGTAAAATTATTTTAATCTGCAAAATAAGCCATTCAGTTGTAAACATGAAAGCACTTTTGTATATTATAACTTTCGTGACAGGATTAAAAAAATTTATTGACTTGAAACTATAAGTAAACAAAATAGTTAATAAAAAGAATTTTCTTTTCTTTACCATTAGTTTGGAAAATTTACAATTTTAAATTAAAAGAAAAAATTTATTTTAATTTAATAAAACAAATTTAAATTTAATATTTAATAAACTTAATTAAAATACAATAAAAAAAATCTAAATTAAATTTTTTTTTAAAACAGAGTAGTTTTAAAGTAGAAAAAAATTTATTTAACTGTTTTTTTATATTAAAAAAATTATTTCACAATTGCGGTGAAAATGTTTTTATAAACTTTTCTTTTCACTTGATATGAGCTCTTCCTCAACTTTGTTGTCCTTGGTGCGTAAAAAAAGTTTTTATATAGAAATTTGCTACTAAATCCACATGAATCGATCAGCGTATTATGTCCAAACAATAGCTTTAGACTTAAACGTTTTTGTGTTAGATTTTTTAAATGTTTAAAGTGATCCCAAAGTGCTGACAAAAAAATATACACATTGCAGTCTACAGACTTTATAATTTATTCAAGAGCGTTCATAAGAGTTTTAGTAAAAAAATAATGTAGAACATTATAGAACTTTTTTTTTTTGAAACATAATTTTTTCCATATACAATCAGCAAATCATTTTTATTTGTTACTTTTATATTACTTTTCACTATTATTACATTTTACTATTACGTTTCACTAAAACTCAAAGTATATGTTCATAAATTAAAAAGAAGTTAGTATCTTTGCTTTTATAAATTTTATTAAAGAAATATTATTTATAAAGATACTTTTATACGTCAGGATTTTTATATATCTTTGATATAATTAATCAAAAAAATGATTTTTTAAAATTTCAACTAACATTGCTTTTTATATGGTACCGCACCATTGATATTACTAAAAAAAAAAATTTCATCACATTTGGACCACCCTATCAGTCTGCGCAATAGGCCCAAAGTTCATTTTTAGGGTGTTTTTGACCCTTTTTTCAGTCAAATTGTAGGGGCTCTTCCCATGGTTCAATTTTGAAAAACTAAATTTGTTTAGGCAATTTTATGCATAAGAATTAAATTAAAATTCAATGTTACGCTTTATTTGTTTGCATAATGGGTCAATTAAATATCTATATTTAACAAAAATGTTGATTTTTAGCATTTTTTTATTCTTTGATAAGGTCTTTTTCAGTGCCTTCAATGTTTTAAGTCAGAATGTAATGTGTAAAGCAGCTGCAGAATCGTCTAAAAAAATGAGTTAGTTTTGTGTCTTTTTTTATGTGACTATATTAGGTTGTCTACTTGAATATATGAGGTTTAGCAGCATTTGTTATATTTTAATAATGTCAGAGCATAAAAAATAAAGTTTCAGCACAAATACTCAAAAAGAAACTTTTTTTCTCTTTCTTCCACTCTTGAACTTGTTAGCTACAAGGAAAGTGTCCTGTCTCTTCTTCTCTTTGTGGGATTTGTTGATCAGCTCCTAGTTAAAAATAAAATATGTTTGTTGAAATTACCTTAATATTTTCTACAAGAGGTTTTAACTTTTTTTTTAAATGTACCTGAACAAGTTTCACAGATCTCTCACTGCAATCATTAACTACTTCCAGATTTTTGACAAATTGTTTAAACTCCAGATAATAATCATTCAGGTTCCATGTCTCAACTGGGCTTTTTAACCACTGTAACTTTGCCTTCCAATGGTTCAAGAGATGAAATATTAACCAACTCTGTTCAATTATCAGTGAAACCAAGCTAGGAGGATTATCTTGACAAAAATCCAGATTCTTCAACAATTCAAAATCTACCTGCTGTCTGTGTACAACATAATTCTCAGGCCTTGACATGGAATACAGCTTCTTGGCAATCTTGTCACAATCATGGACCTCTTTATCAGCTAAAGCCATTACAACAGCGGTAGGATCAATGTACCAGGTGTGCCTCTTCATTTTCTCAATAACAGGTTTTGCCAGCTCAGGTTTGACATCAGAGCACCTTATCAACTGCCACAGTGCTTTCATATCCTAAGAAATAATCTTTAGATAGCAAAATACTAAAAAGAATAACTTTTATTTAAACTTTACTACGTTTTAAATAATAAGAATATAAAAATTAAAGTAAAAAAAAAACCTGAGAGGGAGCAATTGCTGGAATTTCTGCTCTGAGAAACCATTCAGTGTAAAACACTGCAGTAAAGAAAGCCATATCTTTGATTTCGTTCTTCTCATAGGCTTTGAGTTTGGGAATGTTATCCATTAAAAGGAACATCTTAATAAAGTATATTCCTCAAAAACCATCAAAAACCGAGCATGACTTACAAGTACATGTTTTCGGAGTCTGTACTGCACATCACCAGATAGTACCATTACTGTGAGTTCGGCTAACTCAAGAAAATCACACCTGCATCCATTCTAAACATAAATACTTATTTTTATAATAAGCAGTTTTACAAAGTTGAATGTTTACATTGCGTTTTGACTTTTTGCAACATTTAAAAAAGCCATAAAAAATTAAGATTCATTCTTTACATTTTCAGTTTGATATCTGATATTAATTATTTGTTTATTGTGTAAAGCGTCAGGAACTATGCACATTAAATAAGTTATTATTATTCTAATCTGCGATTTACGGGATAATGGACTTTTGTTTATTTGAAAGCTATTTAAACTACTTTAAACAACATTAAAATTAATTTGATAATTTAAAGTACTGACCTTTCTTTAGCTTTTCCATCTATATAATGTTTTTGGAGAACTTCAAAGCTTTCTTGAATTGATCCTGCAACCAGTTGTCAGTAATATTCTCAATCTTGATTTTGTTAAGTACAGTAGAATCATAACTTTTAGCTAGTTTAATGCATACTTCTTTCTGTTTACCAATGTTAAAATTAGTAGTATCAAAAACACATCCGTGAAACTTGTTCGTAATTTCAAATTGGCCAAAAAGTTCCATGATTGCTGTTTTCTGCTCCTTCCCTGTACTTAAAGTTAGAGGTGGAATACCAAGTATTGTCTGTATCAAACTCTGTCTGTCCAATGATGTTGCCCTAGACACAACAAAATTTGCAACAGAACCTCCAGAATTTGTAATAATACTGGACACAATTGCAGTATGTTGTCTAGCAGACGGTCCCTCTCCTATAACAGTAAGTGCTGCATTCTGTAGAATATCTTTTGGAAGGAGAATCAATAAGCCAGATTCTTATTTGTCGATTTCTGCTTCAAAGTCTAAATCAGAATTACTATCACGACTACTTGCAGAGCTGTGTAAAATGTTAAGATAATTTGTAATGTCTCCTTTACTATTCCTGGTAGTCAAATGATTCTTCTGTGATCTTTCAAGAGCATATGAAAACCTTTTATCTTTTGTTCCAATTATTCCTTTCCATTCTCCCAGCTGATCCAAAATGAAAACAATATCTTCCTATAGCTCCATGAGTCCTCTTCTTTTCTTTCCTGATCTTTTTTTCTGACCAGTTCTTCAGGATTTCTACAAATCTAAAAGCAGTTCAGAAGATCCTGAAGAAAATTTTCTCTTGACTTAGTATTTGATAAACCATTCCGGTGACGACTTTTCTTTAACATGTTGTAATAATTCACTGTGCTCTAAATCTTCACCCTACACATGGCATATAAAAAATTTAAGTGAATTTCCATTTTAATAAAATACATGCCTGAAATTTTAAATTAATACTTGATATACAACGTTAAGAACCTAATAAAATAACATAAATGTTTCTACTGTATAAATATAAATAGTAAATTGAATTAAAAGTTAAAAATGCAGTATTTTTTTTTAAACATAAAAAAAAAATTGTAAGATTTGCCTTATATTGACCATTGTAATTAGAGGGAATACAACTAGATTCCATGGCTCAATCAATTTAGACATTACACAGCAGTGAGTTTTCTCTGCAGGAAATTGGAGCTCAAAAGAAATCATCTTAAATTTGCACCTGATTAAATCTATTTGCTTGGCGTATGGATTTAGCTTTTTAAGATGTAGGTAGTGCTTATTGCTTGGGAGAGTCGAGTTTTCTTTACTAGAAATATTTCTGACATGTTTCTATAACGCTTTATCTTTTTCTTTATAGACATTTTATTTCTTTTTTTTATTTATATTCTTTTTTTTATTTCTTTTTATTATTTTTTATTTCTTTTATATTTTTTTTTATTTCTTTTATATTTTTTATTATTCTTTTATATTTTTTATTATTCTTTTATATTTTTTATTATTTTTTATTTCTTTTATACTTTTTTTTATTTCTTTTATATTTTTTATTTTTTTTTATTTCTTTTTAGCATTTTTTTTATTTCTTTTTTTTTTCTATTTGAAAAAATATGTATATAGATATAAAGTATAGAAAGACAACCTTATATGATCATATTAAAGAAGGGAAACCTTAACACTGACTTTTTTTAGACAATTCTGAGCTGGTTTAAACACCTTATCAAAGAAAAAAAAAAATTTTTAATTTAACATTTTTGTTAAATATAGTTATTTAATTGACCCATTATGCAAACAAATAACGCTTAACATTGAACTTTAATTTAGTCTTTATGCATAAAATATATATGCATAAAATTAATTTAGTCCTTATGCATAAAAAAGTATTATCAATGGTGGGGCACCATATGAAAAGCAATGTTAGTTGAAATTTCAAAAAGTCATTTTTTTGAAACACCCTAATATATATATATATATATATATATATATATATATATATATATATATATATATATATATATATATATATATATATATATATATATATATATATATATATATATATATATATATATATATATACATATATACATATATACATATATATATATATATATATATATATATATATATATATATATATATATATATATATATATATATATATATATATATATGTATAATAAGTAATAAGTAAACGAGCGACTACCATCCAAACTAAAGTTATTGAATCCATGCCAATTGACGATGTACGAAAACCATCTGGAGCTGCTGTGGGAGCTGAAATTTCATATTTATAATATTGTAAATTTATTCAGAATACTATTGTAACAATTAAAAATAAAAATTCTTTTTAAAGAAACATAAATCAAACCAAGTGCCTGAGTTTCAATCCAACTTGTTGGATCACTATCAAATCCTTTCCCAAATTTGTTTAATGCAGCAATTCTAAAACGGTACTTTGCTCCAGCAAGTAAATTATTCACTGTAAAAGAAGTCATCTCTGGTTGAAGTTGTGCAAGAAGGAGGAAATTGTTCATGGTGAAGTTTTCCATGTATAATTGATAGCCTAAGTTAAAATAAAATAAAAAAATTAGTCATGAAAATACTAAATCAAGTTTTAAGTAAATATGAAATAACAGTTAGTTTGAAAAAAATAAATTAAAAAGGTAAAATAACAAATATTTATGTTTAAAAATATTAATTAATTTCAAAATTCTTTTGAAGTCAAGAGCTATACTAGTCTACTTGTACTTTTATTAGTGTTAACATGTTTCCAGTCCAAATCCAGCTCAAGTCCAGTATAAACTACTTGACATATATATTAATTATCTATATTTATTTATAGATTTTAAATAATGAATTAATTTCTAATATGTTATTGTAGTATTGTAAAAAATCTGTCAATTTTCAGTCATTTTAAAATAAATGATTTATTTTATTTTGTATGGAGTTTAAAATTTTCTTAAATTATCTGTTTCTTACTATAGACTAAAACAGAAAAAAAAAATTATTAAAAACCTGTCAATGGACTTCCGCCATCAGATGGAGCATCCCATGTTAACTGTAGAGAAAAAGGTTGAGTATCGATTACACGAGGTGTAGAAGGAATCATGGGAAGCTCTAAAGCAAAAAAAGTGTGATATAAAAATGTTTTTAAAAACTTTTAAAACTGTTTTAAGTACACATTTTTTAGTTTTAAGTACAATTTTTTACATTTATTACTTTAGAAAAAAGGAATTTTAAGTTTTAACTTAAATAATAATTAACCAAGAGTAAACAGCAAATTATAACAAAACACAGACAACAGCTCAATTAATTGTTCTTAGATAATTGTTACAATGAAATTTACTTATCTTTTTATTTTCTTATTTGAAAATATTTTTCTTATCTAAAAAATTTATTAGTGAAAATATTTGAACTAATGAAGGTAACACTAACTTTCATGTGTAATAAAAAGAAAGGTTATTAGGCATATATAACAAACTTGGTAATAACTTTAGCGAACCTGACATTTTATAATTACAAACCAATAACAAATTACAACAAAAATTGCTCTACCTGTTACTTAGTTTGTAAATTAAGCGTTGGTCTGTAAATATCAAAAAATTATCTTTATGGTAGCAGTAACAACAAAAAATTACTTACGAACAAGCACCAAAGATGTAGAAACGAAAGGATTTCCCCCTAATGAAAATACATGACAGGAAAAGTCAATGCCTGTATCTATCTCTTGCACAAATTTTACTATTAGACTACCATCAGGCTGAACAATGTATCGAGGATCTTGAACTATAAGATTATTGTATCGCCATTCACGTGTAAAATTTATATTGGGATCACTTATTACAGTGCATGCAAGTCGTACATTTTCTCCTTTGCGAGCATATGTTTCCCTTTGAGGATATTCAGATATCTTTGTCGGAACTTTAAATAAAAAACAAATTATTTAGCATAAATATATTTTAAAAAAATATTTTTTTAATAACTAATTAAAAATCTAAAAATTAATTACCAATTACAAAAACTCGAGAATATTTTCTTGATATACCAACCATATTATCAGCTACACAAGTATAAACACTACCACTACCATCAAATTTTTTTATGATTAAGGAACCATTCTGTAGCAATGTATAGTCTGAGTTTGGCTGAAGATAATGAGGTTTTATCATATTTAATATCATTATTGATATAAATATTAAATAATTAATTATATTACATATTTTTGATTTTTTACTCAAATTAATGATACTATACACTACATTATTATGAATACATTTATTTATTATATTGTAATATTTGGAGATGCAAAAAACACATGTTTTTTTTGCTATCATGTTTTTTTTTTTGTTTTTATGTAGTTTTTTTTTTTTGTTTTTTACAGATCTTTTCAGTGTTTTTGTTTACTTGCTATTAACTTTTTAAAAATGTTTCTGACTTATTTAAAATGTTTCTATTTAGTTCTGTTTGAGTATTTTAGATTCTATATTAGATGTCCTAATGTCCATTTTGTCGTTGTGGTGTACATTGGAAGAAGTCGGGGCTCACCAGCCAAAAAAATAAGTTTTAATTGTTAATGTGACACAAAGATGGCAAAAAGTGACCAACAGAGTCATCTAGTTACATAGACCTGGGAGATGCGATAATAGAATCAGATTGTAGATAATGTCATTTAGGTAAAAAAACATAAATTAATGTAAAGACTATTAAATGGGAGGAGTAAAATTTAACAACTCAGGAGGAAGGGCAACCATAACTTACACTTTAGTCGCCCTTAGCAAATGATAAAAAAATAGTCTATGAGTAAACAAGTCAATATAAATTTGCTGGTTTATTAATGGCAACCAAAATTTTAATGCTGGTTTATTAATGGCAACCAAAATCTGCTGGTTTATTAATGGCAACCAAAATATTAATGGCAACTAAAATTACCGTACCATACAAAAACAATAAAATAAGTAGATAACAAAATAGTAAGTAAAATGGTAATAAATGATAGTTTGGGCAATATAAAAAGAAAAAATAATTTTAATTAAAAAATTAAAATATTAATGGTCTAAAATTCTAGATAATAAATTGGAAACTGATTATTACCTGTGTAACATAAAAATATATAAATGTTGCTTATGTAACAAATTTATAATATAAAGCTCACAAAAGGCTTAATTCCTGGGTGTAAGAGGTTAAAAAAATGTTGGTGCTATAATAACCAATTAGAATTAAGTAATGGATGATTGGTGATACACCCTCAGGAATGCATTGTGATCACCAATGATGTTTTGGAGAGCCTGAGACCTGCCCTAACGCCAATTGTCAGGGGTGTGTCCTTGCAACAGATCTCACCGCCTGCACTTTATTTTTGTTCACTTGTCATCTGAAACATTTATTGATTTGTGAGATTTATCTGAAATACTTATTTGTTCTTTAGGCAAGATTGGTTGTTGTGTTGCACACATATCAATTGCTTCAAGTTTTAAATTTTGCAATACAAACACTAATTTTGCTGTTCTTTTATTTGTTAATCTGTTTCTTTTGACACTGTGATTTGCATAACTGCTAAAACTTCTTTCACAAGCAGTACTTGTATCAGGAAGTTGAAGAATTTTTGTTGTTACTTTTGATAATTCAGTAGATGAACAAAATCCCTTCCACAAGTTTGATGATGTTTAATGATTATCTAATCAAATAACTTAATGATGTGATTAATTTGATTAGAAATTTGCTTAATTAATGCTTACAATACCTTATAATGGCTATATTCTAAAATTATTTCATAGTTTAATTATTATAAAAACAAATAATAATAATTGTATTACTCAAATTCATTTTACTATAATTTATGATAAACTGGTACATTAGGGTTTTCAAAATAACAATATATCACCATTATTATTCTTATGTTTTAAAACAGTTACTATAACAGTATAAAATTAAACAACATTATTTATAACACAATTGAAAATACTATTTCCATTTTCTGAGATTAAATGTTGACAAATTTAATTTATTTGCAATTGTAGAAATAAATTTAAAAAACAAAAAGCATAAAATAAGATAGCAAAATTAAAAAAAACATTAAAACTATGCAAAACAATACTTATAAATTTTGCAATGCAGTGTTATTTCACTTATAAATTAAAAAACTAAAGTTTTTATTCATTCTACAAATTACAAAAACTAGTTTTTATTCATTCTGTTAAAACATTTGTTTTTAATGTTAAGGAAAAATTGTTTTGAACTCAAAAAACTCATCTGCATAATATATATATATATATATATATATATATATATATATATATATATATATATATATATATATATATATATATATATATATATATATATATATATATATATATATATATATTTAAACAATTTAAAATGTATTCTACAAAAAGAGTGCTCAATGTTCTTAAAAGAACAGAGCAATTACAAATTAGTAGAAAATTTTCTGATGAGTCTTTACTGATGAAATACAGTGTTAAATGAGAAAAAATTTTGCTAAGTGATTTTCTACTAATTTGTAATTTATATATATATATATATATATATATATATATATATATATATATATATATATATATATATATATATATATATATATATATATATATATATATATATATATATATAGAGGGTGTTCGGGATAAATTTGACATATTTATAATTGATTATATTTTTTTGTAGATTAGAGGTATTAACACACACTACAGGTCATTTAAAAGTTTGAACCCTTCTTAATTCATATACAAGATGTCAGAAAGGATGGATGACTGGAACCCACCTGAATCATGGAAGAGAATAACTTGCATCATGATTATTTGTGCCGGCCATCAAAATAAGGATATTATGACTGCTGCCCAATGCTCCCTGAACACAGTAAAAACAATCAGGTATGAACTAGAGACTTGCAATGGTGACTACGAGGATGTAGTAAGAAGAAAGATCCCTAGCAGACGATCTGATTGCGTTCGTACAGCAGAATTCCTTGCAAGTCTGCAGGAACAGGTGTTGAAGAACCCTGGCATTGGAATTTGGGCTTTGTCACATGAAATAAATGTTGCATCCTCTACTATGAAGCTTGCACTGTAGTCAAGCCCTGGATACTGTAGTCAAGCCCTGGATACTGTAGTCAAACACTGTAGTCAAGCCCTGGATAACAAGGGTAGCCAATTGTAGGCCGTATGTATGGCAGCAGGATTCGGCCCCTTGCCATACCTCTGTGAAAAGTCAAAAATGGTTGTCTGAAAATTTCTACGACTTCACCAGTCCAAATGTTTGGCCTCCAAACTCCCCAGACCTTAACCCCATGGATTAATTTGTATGGGGCGCAGTTGAAAAAGACACCAATCGCACTTCCAGTAATACAAAAGCCTAGTTAGTGGATAAAATTAAAACAGTTTTTAAGGCCCTTCCCAGGGAGACAGTAGCATTAGTTTGTTCGAAATTCCGAAGCAGGATTGAAGCAGTGATCGATGCTAATGGTGGTTATTTTGAGTGAATTTTTTTCATAGTATTGTAATTTACTATGCCTGTAATTTTTTTGTCAACTCATTAAATTTAATAGATACAAAGAAGATTTTCCTTTTTCTTTTCGAAACTGTCATTTTTATAAATTAAACACTTTTATATATTAAGACATTGTTATATACTAGCTACTCTGACTCATAAAAAGGTCTTTGTAAGTCCACACTGACCTTTTCTACGTTTTTTCTTTATATATACATCCTAGCTTTTCGGACCCATAAAATACGGGTCTTTATCAAATCTACCATTTCTATACTTATTTATTCCACACCGATCATTTCTATACCCATTATTTGTTTACTATAATACTTTCACGTAAAATAACTTATTTAAAAAAAATACTTTAGGAGCAAAAAAATTAACATGCGCACTTTAGAGGGCAACAATTTCTTGCCAACCTCAAACACTTTCAGGTCAGCAGTTAGGTCGGCATTGCCAAATGCCGATCCTAATTCCAAAGGTTGTTATTCCATATACTGCCTGCAAACTTAACATATGCTAAAGACGTTTAAATTACACACATTTGTATGCAACACTATCCAAATAGCAGAACTAAGAAGATAGACTATAAAACGCTAAGGGATTGTCTATAAATTACACAATGCTAAATTTACCTTTAAAAAAGAAGGAGATCTTCAGTTCTTTTAGGTGGCTATTTTTATTAAACTTAATGAGCTATTTTGATTTTTTATTTAACATATGACTCTGCGAGGGATAAATTTCATCTTTTTTGTTTTGTTTATTAGAGAAATTTTTTAATGCACTTCCGCGGTGCTCTGTGACAAGACTGTAAGGTCTTCTTGAGGCACCTAAAATAACAAATACAAAAAGCATTGCGTAATTTATGGACGATCCCTTATTTAAAAGTTAAGATTAGGGATTAGCCAAAAGGTATATAAAGCCAAAAAATAATGGAGTATAATACTATTTTGATGGTTATCTAAATTCTGTCATAGTTGCACACTCGGTTTAGAATGTTTAAAATGAATGTAAAAAGAATGTAAAATAGCTGTAAAACTTATTTTTAAAAGTAATTAATTCAATAAAATGGTTTCATATAAAAACATAATTTTCATTATGTTTTTATATGAAACATACTTTTTAAACCCCTTTACTGTTTTAAAAAGTTAAGGAGGCTGTGTGACAAGCTCAAATTTATCAGCTTGCTTTATTTTAAATTTTTGTTAATTAAAATGCAAAATAAAACAACTTTAAAGTTCTATAGATTATATATTTTATATATAAAAATGTTGAACACTCATTTTCCTTGCATTAACTCAACTTAGATGGAAAACTAAAATAACATAAGCATCTCAATCATGACATATACGCAATAAATATCCCCCTGTTTTTTAATGTTTTTAGAATTTTTAGCTTTATTAAAAATCTATTTGTTTGTTAAAGTGTATAATATTGTTAGATAAGTTTGTTTATAATCTTTATAAAACTTCACAAGTATTTTGTATTAAAAAAAACCTCAAAAAATTAAAAAAAAAGTTGCCAGTGGTAGGACTCGAACCAAGGCTTTTATGTTCAGGAGTTCAGCGAGCTAACTACTTGGCCATGCTGACACATTGGTCGTCGAAATTTTAAAACTATAAAAATTGTTTTAATGGAAATATAGCTTATCGATGTGAGATTTGAATACATTCAAGCTTTCACTTTTGATGATAAAACCTGGTAGTTTGTTTCACACTGATGAGACTATTAGTTAAGAATTGATGACGAATATTGCAGTTTCTAACAATTTCTCTTCTGATTTTAAAACTATAGACTTTTTAAAACTGCTAGCACCAATTGTTTCCAATGCTTTAAATGCAGTGATTTTAAGGTTGAAGACAAATAACAACAAATAAATGCAGTGATTTTAAGGTTGAGGACAAATAACAAATAAGTGCAGCAATTTTAAGGTTAAAGACAAATAACAATAAATAAATGCAGTGATTTTAAGGTTGAGGACAAATAACAACAAATAAATGCAGTGATTTTAAGTTTGAAGACAAATAACAACGGGAAAACCAAAAAAATTTAAAGATTGTATTTTTAAAGAATTATTAAACAAAAAAATGTTGTCAAGAATAACATTCAAAACTGTTGGGAGTAACACAAAAAGCCATTTCTGTACATTTAAAAGCAGAAAAAATATCTTGCAGGCCGAAAATGCTGCTTTAACAGTTTAAAAAGAAAATTTTTTGAAAAGTTGATTCATTATGATAACCCAAAGTAAAAAAAAGAATACATTTTAGACAAAAATTTATAACTATTGTAACCAAAGCAAGATATTTGCACCACACTAATGCTCTGAATTTGGTGGGATTAAAAGCTTGTATTGTGTTATGAGCTGTTGAAAATGGTTAAAAAACGTTTTGAAAGGTATTTTGAAAATATTGGATATAAAATTTTTGGCTCATTTAACAAATAGCTCAGACCATGCCCCGCCTGACTATTATTAATTTCATTTGATACAAGGCCCACTCACTAAAATATGCTTTACTTCAGAACAGGGTTTCTGAAATTGGCATGATTCTATTTTGGCATAAAAAGATAAATGGTTATTTTGGGATATAATCCATTAATTACCAGAGAAATAGAGAAATGTTAAAATTTCAAATAGGCAACACTTTGAATAATGTATCAATTCAATTTGTAATTAAAATAAAGCCATATTTAGAATCAAAAAAACCCAGAAACTTATTTGTAATCCCAATAAAAATATACATATTTTAAAAAATATTTATTTTGGTTACTTACAAAGCTTATGCGAGAATTATTTATCAGCCAGTAAATTATAGGCATTGGTGCGCCCACAGCAACACATGGAATCTCTATGTTACTGTTAAAACCAGCATAGATATCAGTGGATTCACCCAAAATAGATGCACTAATATCTAAGAAATAACAAGATATGATAAATTATCAAAGTATGCAAATATACTTTTTATTACAGTATTTTTATTTATTACATAAAAATACTATAATAAAAAATAAAATGAATACAATCTATATGATGTATAATGATACAATCTGTATGATATAAAACATATATGATAATAAAATCTAGCAAAAAAACAATAGGAATTAACAAAGCATAATATAATGTTATATAACATTAATATAGTATGAAATAATATATTAATCCATTTAATCCACTACAAATTGCTTCATAAGAGGCAGGTGATGCTCCTTAGCTGTACCTAATAGAAGAAAAATCCTGATATAAAACACCTAATTTATTTTGGGTAAAGGAAAAAAGAGTTGATAAACCTTGGATGATTTTTTCCATGGTAGTGCCACAATAATTATACTCATTTACAAAATCTTTTAATGCCACGAATAACAGAAACCCATTCAAACAGGTTTAAGATGAAAATTAAAATTTAATAAATAAAAAAATACATACTTAAGACTTTAACTTGTGCTTGAGCAAACACTATGCTCTTTATGTTGCTTGCCGCACATTGAAAAAGACCATTATCTTCCCAATTTAATTTATTTAAAAGCAGAGTATTATTGGGAAGTACTGTATGTTTTCCAATAATTGAAACTGGAATACCATTGCGATACCATGTCACATTGACACTAGGAAAACCTTGAGCTACACAATTTAGTGATGATGTGTTGTCTGTGTATCCATATATATCTATAGGTTTTACTAAAATCTCTGGAGTACCTGAAATAAAATGATGTTACAATTATCATTATACTACCAGTATAATGTGAAAAATAATTCTAGAGTCAATTTCAGATGAGCTAAAACCAAGACAACTTTCATTAGATTTTTTTGTCTTAAACAAAATAAACCATTCTTAAAATAGTTAGCTGAGTTTTGAGTATCATGAAAAATAATAGCAATAATAATAAAGTAAAAAAAAAAGTTAAAAAACATTTGTTTTTTAATTTTTTAAACTTTATACTTACAACTTAAATTTTTTGAATATATTTGATATAGTGAATAAAACTATAAATTATATAAAAACTATAGTGAATAAAACTATAAATTATATAAAAACTTGATAAAAATTAAAATAATATTTAAAAACTTTTTCTGATAATTGTATGGATAAATATAATTTTTATTATTAAATTAAAAGGTATTGAATTTATATTTTTTATATTTTAAATGGTTACCAAAACCAAACCATTTTTGAATAAAAAAGAAAGTATATTTCCTATTATTATTTTCCATATTACTAATTTATTGTGATAAAAATTTCTCCATATTAGTAATTTATAGTGATTTAAACTATCTTTGTATTACTAATTTATAATGATATAAACTATAATAAAAATTCTTGTTATTATTAATGTTAAATTTTTTTATATAAAACATTTAACAAAACCAAATAAGTTGAGTCAAAATATTTTTGTTCTTTTGCACACTTTTGTTCTTTTATGGATATTAGATTTGGGACAACATCTTGGTTCTCTATTTGTGCTTTAATAAAACCATCACATCTCTGAAAACTACAAATGGCAACTGCTGCTTTAGCTGCTTGCTTTATGACTCTTTCAAAAGACTGGATGTGGGGAGGGAAGAAGGGTACTTACATAGGAGAATCTATTATCTTTTCTAAATCTTTTTTTTTAATTTAAATTCTAAAATCTAAATTTTCTTTAACCTTCATAATCATGTTGACTGCAAAAGTTCTACTTTTATATGATTAGCTTGCAAGTAGAATAGAATCAGAATGAGCATGACTAGCTTTTGCAACCTTAACTTCAACAGTTTGACCTTCTAATAGATTAAGAAGTCTAATCAGATGATGGAGTCTGTAAACAATAAAATGCTTAGCTGTAATTCTAAACCATATAAAAGTACATTTAAGCCACAAACTGAGTTAATAATTTGTCTTTTTAAAATATTACTTTCTTAAAATGTTATCAGGAATTCAACAATGTCAATACTAATTAAACTTCAATAATCCTTTTATTTGGTTTACCTTGGATAATAGTTTTTCTATGAGGTTTTATTTTTTTAAATCCATCCATAGAGTTTGCAGGTTCATCAGGACTTGCAATCAGGCGTTGTACCTCATTTGTATACAACATGCAAATTGACCAATTGAAACTTTGCCTCTACAGAAGTATACATCAAATAAGCCTCTACAGAAGAGTTATCAACCATTCTTACCAGACCCAATCATTGAGTCTGTTGAGTCTAAGCCAATCAAAATTATAGTTTTCACAAATATTTCTTTCTTTGGAAACCATTTATAACATTATAAAGCCCAATGGTTGTTACTTAGGCTGATTTGTTTAGATTTTTTGAAGGTGTAAAGACTGTCCGAAATCATTATAACCCAGGGAACTTTTTAAATATTTTGAGAACCACCTAATCAGTTTTGATTATTATTTTTTTTTTAAAAAAAAGCTTTTAAAGAAAAATCATTTTCAAGCTGATCACAATATTTTCTCAATTTAGTTTAGATACCTCACATAAACTTTTAATTTGTTTTTTTAAATACTGTAAAACATGCCCTAAACTATAGTAAACTCATTAAACGCCATTTTTATAAAAAAATTTCCTAATTCCTAATTATAGATTAATCATATAAAAACAACTCACTATAAACATTAAGAAGCACTTCTTTTTCATTGAGCACATTTAAATTGTTAAGAATAGAACATATGAACTTTCCATTATCGTCTTTGTACGTTGGAGAAACTATATTTAGTCTTCTGCCATTATCTTTTAATATATATTTAGAACTATTAGGAACTTGCTTTGAGGTTCCATCTTCATTGATTTTACTCCAAATTAGCTGGACCTGATCCATTAGTCTAAAAATCAACACAGTTTTACTGACATGGCAAGATGATTATCATTAGTATACTATCATTGTATATAACTTGAAAAATAAATTTGACACACTAATTTTTTCAGAAGTGCTGGAGTCCTACTGATGATAAAGACTCTACACTTTGTTTCCAGACGAAAAATAAATTTAAATCAAATTTAAATAAACTTAACCATTATTTAAAAAAAAGATGTTTTATTTCTATATTTATTGTCATGTCAAAATTATACAGCATCACGGAAGGCATCACGGTCATTAACATGGATGCCATGGAAGGCATCCCATATGGGATTATGTTAATGACCCAAATGGTACCTATATCATTGTTAGTTGGGCAATGTCTTAGTTACACTTTAAGAAGCCATAAAATGTCTTTTTTTTTTAGATTTGTTTTATTTAGGTATAGTGTTTCTATAGTAAAGAGAATGTTTGATCAAAATATAAATTTTGTTTTGAATATTATGTGCAATCTTGTGAAATGGTGTGATAAGAGTTATTAGGTAGTTAAAATAAAAAGTAGTGACTTGGAATATGGGCGGTACATAACATAGCTAGATAATTTGTTTTTTATTATTAACAATATCTTGTTTTGAACTAAATAATCAAAAAACTTATTTAAGATGCTATAAAAATGGTCAGTGCAACATCCAAGTCTGGCAGAAACAAAAGATGCATGAATACTTCGCTAAGCTGTTGAGCAAAGAAATAATGAACGAAAGGCAACTAACTATATACATAGTTTAGGCTAATTAGTGAATCAAAATTTGTTGAATGGTTTATGAATCTATTGCTAACCCTGATTAGCACTAGAAAGTGTACTAAACCTTGTAAAGTGTTATTATACCATTGGTTGTGAAATTAAAAGCTGCTCATACATAAAATTGACTTGGTCAATTTTATGTACGAGCAGATCTTAGTTCAGATCTATGTAACTGAACAAAGTGAAAGAACACTGATTCTGCTGCTGACGGCGATGTTTATGACAATTGTATTGATTGTGATTATGACAAATATGAAGAAAGGCTTATTAGAAGTACTTGTATTGCAATAAGTTCTTTTAACTAATAGTTTTTAGATTTAACATTTAGAAATAAATAAAAATGCTTTTTTAAAGTAAATCAGATTGTAATAAGTTGATTTATTATCTAATTCGATTATAAATTGATCAAGTCGATATTTGTTAAACAATAACAACACGTTAATGCAATTCCTTCAATAATGCTTAAAAGAAATTTTTTTTTTCGTCTTCAAACCATTAGAAATTAAAAATCTAATTACATAAAAGAGAAAAAAAATTTTTATAGTAAATACAAACAATCGAAAAAAAATCAATAGATTGTTTAGATGGTATTTTGAAGCTCAATAAGCCAAGAGAGTTTTGAATTCATAAATTTTTATTTTAGAATCTTTACAAACTAAAACGCTCACTTACATAGAAACTTTTTAGATCCCACGACTGCATCACGAAAGTTAATTTTAAAGCATCTTTTAACACTTATATCTATATCTATATATACTTAAATAAATTGTTTATATAGGTAAATAAACTAGTTGTTTTCACATTTTTCTTATATACACTTATATTACTCTTCAAAAATTAAAACTTAAATTAAAATTCAAAATTCCTTTTGCTCTAAGCCTTTATTTATTTATTTATTGTTCTAAGCCTAAATAAATACTATTACATATTACTGCAATTATTATTACCATTGCATTTTTTTTTTACTGATTTATTTTATTATTGATTTATAATCTCCGTCATCACGTTGACGTAAAACAATTTAACAATTTAATATTCTGAAAAGTACAAGAAAATGGTTAAAAAATTATCAGTTGATCCAGAAAAGAGCAGAGTATATATCAAATTAGAGTCCCTAGACAAATGGCTATTTGAATTAAAATGTCAAATAACCAGTAAGTTTTGAAAAAAAAAAAAGTTTGAAACAATTATAAAAATAAGATAAGATGAATAATTCTCTCACAAAGTGCATTAAAAATTCTTGATACAACGGTAACAAATCAAAAAATAGTAGTTTCTTTAATCAGATAGCTACCCAAGGTACTAACAAAAAAAGGAAACCATAATCTCCTCAGAAACTTCCACAAGTAAACATTTTAAACATTCAAAACTGACTCAAATAACATTAAACTGTATGTACACTTATGCAACATCATTCAATCAGGCAAAAATGGATAAACTTTCAGTTTTATATTGAACAATACCAATCACATCTAATATGTATAATAGAAACATGGTTTCATTCAACTTCTTGTTCTAACCTATTAAACTATAACTTGTTCAAATTCTATAGAGATTATGGTTTCCTTTTTCTGTGGCAGCGGAGTAGCTTTATATGTCCCAAATAATATATCTGCATACTAAACTGACAACTAAGAAGCAAAAAAACAATTATGTGATAGAACAAATATGGTGTGAATGTAAAATAGGATCTATATTTGTGTTGGTTGGGTGTATTTATAGACCTCCAAACAATGACTTACAACCTGCAAAAGAAATAAATAAATTGATCATATATGCAAAGTCTTAAATTTGACAGAGGACCTGAGATGCCTTACTTATTACAGGTGATTTTAATTATCCAAATCTGAACTGGTATCTGAAATACAAACCATTTCAAAAATAAATAACAAGGAGAGCAATTTTTTAGACACAATAAATGAACAATCTCTAGTACAAATGGTAAGTATACCAAGGTATCAGAAACCCAATATGGAATCATCTAGCTTACTTGGTTTAATTTTAGTTGAAAACAAGCACAGAATTGAATATATAAACAGTCCTCCTCCTTTAGGTGATACATATCAAGGTCAACTAATATTTCAATACAAATATGTGATAAGTACTAACAATGATAAACAATTAACAAGTAAAAAACTTGATTTTAAAAATGGAGACTATATACTAGGTTGGTTGAAAAGTTCGCAGAGCGGAAATGAAAAAACAATTTTATGATTTAAAAAATGACTTTATTCTTCAGTATATTCTCCCTTAAGAGCAATACACTTTTTCCAACGATTCTCCAATTCATGTATCCCATCTCTGAAGTGCGATTCCGGAAGGCCTTCAAAATACCCATTTACGGCTGCAATGACTTCTTCATGTGATGAGAAACGCTTTCCACGTAGAAATTTTTTGAGATGTGGAAAGAGGTGGAAGTCGGACGGAGCCAGATCTGGTGAATAGGGTGGATGTTCCAAGCGTTCGTACTTTAATTCGACCAATTTCGCCTTTGCAACATCGCTGATATGAGCAGGTGCGTTGTCCTGGTGATAAATGATTTTTTTATGCAGCAAACCAGGTCTTTTCTCACGAATTTTTTTATCCAACTGGTCCAAAAGATTTTTATAATATTCACCTGTTATCGTTTTACCGGTTTGAAGGTAATCTATTAATAAAATTCCTTTCGCATCCCAAAAAACTGATGCCATAACCTTCTTTGACGATTTTGACGCCTTCACTTGCTTCGGAGCTGAACAACCGGGTTCTGTCCACTCTGCAGTTTGTTGTCGCAGCTTCGGATCATAGTGGTAAACCCAAGTCTCATCCATGGTTACGAATCGACGCACAAAATCTGTTTTATTCTTTTGAAAACGGGCCAAATGTTCTTGAGAAAGTTTTACTCGAGTGCGTTTCTGATCCAGAGTTAGCGAATGCGGCACCCATCTTGCCAACAGCTTTCTCAGACGTAATTCATCGTGCAAGATGTGTAATACCCGTTCATCTGAGATGCCCACAGCCTCAGCAATTTCACGTTTGGTCAATCGTCTATCATCCATAACCATGTCATGCACAACATTAATCGTTTCTTCAGTAGTAGCACTTTTTGGACGTCCAGAGCGAGGGTCATCTTCAAGGCTTGAACGCCCACGTTGAAACTCCGCAGCCCATTTGCATACTGTTGTTTTTGAAGGAGCATCATCACCCAACACATTTACCATTTCATTATGAATTTCCATGGGCTTTAAACCTTTTTTCACAAAGAATTTTATTACAGCACGATGTTCAATATTTTCCATTTTAAAAAATACTATGACACGTCTAATTTCAATAGCTTGTAAACAAAGACTGAAATGACATATCGACTTGAAATTTTTTATGCGTTCATACGAAGAATGAATACGTTTAATACAGTTATAAATTTGTTTCTACTACTGCAACATAGGTGCCGCTCCGCGAACTTTTCAACCAACCTAATAAATATGAATAAAAATATATCTGAAACAAATAAAATCTTGTTTGATAATAAAAATATTGAAGAGTGTTATAGTTTATTTTTAGCTAAATATTGCATCAAACATATATAAAATCTGAAAAAAAGTCAAATAAACGAAAAAACATAAATGGATTAATTAGGAAGTAAAACAAATTATTACAAAAAAAAAACTATATATGGCATCGCAATAACGCTTTAGGATGGACGTCTAAATCATGAGTTAAAGTATATAAGGCAGTACACAACTCAGTTAAAAATAAAATAAAAAATTGTGTCCAGAAATATGAAATGAATTTGCGATAAAAACGATAAAAACAATGCTAAACGTCTGTATTCATATATAAGCAAAAGACAAGCAATTAAATCTAACAAAATTAATGAATTATACAATCAAAATGGTTCTTTTCTAATAAAAAACATAAATTTCCCAATTGATGAAGTGTAATTCTGTTTGTAAAAACTTAATCCTTTCAAATCGGATGGTGGGGATGGAATCAGTCTTTGTGTTTTAAAAATGCGCGCAGAATCATATTCTTTATCATTGCAACTAATTTTTTAGCTCTCTTATAATAGTGGATGTATTCCGAATGCTTGGACTAAAGCGAATGTTAGCCTTATCTTTAAAAAAGGTAGTAAACTAGAACCATTTAACTACAGATTGGTCTTGATCACATTAGGTCTATGCAAAGTCATGGAACATCTTAAAGCAACACAACAACAATCATCTAACAACAAATAACTTAGTCAC